GGCTGAGGATGGGAGAAGTAGCCTCTAACCCGGGGTGTGAACTTGGCTCAGAACCTACAATGCTGAGAACAAGTCCAATCCTGTGCTGGCAGGAAGAAGAAATGACCCCTTACCTGCAAATCAGTCTCCACTGCCCTCCTGAGGTACTGGGGAACAGACTCCATATCCATCCTGAGAGACCAGGATTAGGATGCCGAGGAAGGTGTGTGGCCTCTAAGTTGAACAGCTAGTTCCAGGGAGGTCCATGTTACCTGCCAGTGAGTTCTGCACTGCTCCTTAAATGCAGGGGTGAGGATGGGGGAGGGGGTGACCTCTAGGGAGGGTCTACCATTCAGGTCCTGTCTATTCGGATAATTTATACAGTCCCCCCCACAGCCCCCTTTGTATTCCGTTTTGAAAAGGGTCTCCTCACAAACCAAGGCATGTGCATTCACACCAGGCTCTTTATCTCGTTGTGTCTGCTATATAACGTTTGGGCTGTTTTGTGGTGGGTTCTTTATCTAGTCTGGATATTAATCCACTGTCAGATAAACACTCGGCAAATATTCTCTCCTCTTTTAAAAAGTTTCTTTTCTGCCCTCTGCCCATGGCTTCAAGGTGGAAGAGGAAGAGGAGGAGGAGGACCTAAGTCCTCCTTGACTTATCCAGAAGGTGACAGCTATGCCAGGAGGGTCTGAATGGCTGGGGTTTAGCTTTGGGGGAGGGAGACCCCATTTACTCAGGAAACTGCCCATCTGACTCAGCTGAACTGGGCAAGAGGTGACCGCACCTCCTCAAGGTTCACTGGTCTTTGTGTAGTGTCAACTTGACACAAACCTAAAGACACCCGGGAAGAAGGAACTGTTAGATCGGGACTGAGGGAGGTGACTTGGAAATTAAAGAAAGAGGGGTTTGCGGGTGGAAAAGGGGGCTTGGGGGGTAGGAAGATTCCTGGGGTCAGTTCCTCTGCAGTCTCAAAGCATAGACACCAACAGAGGTCGGCGTGTTGTTCTTATCAGAGGCTCCCAGGAGCCTAACAGCCCACAGGTGTTATCAGTCAAGTGAGCTTTCCCGTCTGAGTTTCTCAGTCAGCCTGAGGCTATCAGGTGATTAGCCTTCCAGGAACCTCACCAGAAGAATTGCCGGCAGCACATTGGCCTGTAGGGCGTTCCCTTATTATTAATTGATGTGGGGGGAGGGGCTATGTAAAAAAGACTGCTGACCTTGAGCCTGGGAGCAAGACCTTAGGGAGCATTCCCACATCATGTCTGCTTCAGTTCCTTCCTGGAGCCTCTGCCCTGACCTCCTTTTGACTAAGGGACTGTAACCTGTACAATGAAATAAATCCGCTCCTCCTCCAGACTGCACGGTGATCACGTGGCTGTGGGAAGAACAGAGGGAAGGAAATTAAGTCTGCCTCCTCAGCCTTTCTTATCTCATCATCTCCTACTTCTCTTTCTTGGTGAGGCCCAAAAGTGAGTTTATCCAGGGAAAGATGGCTCTGAGAAATGGATCTGGGGAGTCACCCTGTACCCTTACCTTTCCATTTGTATATGTAACACGAATAATATGAGACGTCAGGACACCAGACGATTAACAGTCACCAAAGCCAACTTACACCAGTGTCTTTCAAGTTTGTTGCCTTAAGAGAACAAGGAAGTGTGGGTAGAAAGGAGCAGAGCAAATGTAAACGTCTGAGAAAAAACGAGACAGAACTCCTGGAAGATGAAGTTTCCAAGGCTTCAGTGTCACAGCGAGGCTGCAGTGTCACAGCGAGGCTGCAGTGTGTCACAGCGAGGCTGCAGTGTCACAGCGAGGCTGCAGTGTGTCACAGTGAGGCTGCAGTGTGTCACAGCGAGGCTGCAGTGTCACAGCAAGGCTGCAATGTGTCACAGCGAGGCTGCAGTGTGTCACAGCGAGGCTGCAGTGTGTCACAGCAAGGCTGCAGTGTGTCACAGCAAAGCTGTAGTGTCACAGTGAGGCTGCAGTGTCACAGCGAGGCTGCAGTGTCACAGCAAGGCTGCAGTGTCACAGCGAGGCTGCAGTGTGTCACAGCAAGGCTGCAGTGTGTCACAGCAAGGCTGCAGTGTGTCACAGCGAGGCTTCAGTGTCACAGTGAGGCTGCAGTGTGTCACAGCGAGGCTGCAGTGTGTCACAGTGAGGCTGCAGTGTCACAGCAAGGCTGCAGTGTCACAGCAAGGCTGCAGTGTCACAGCGAGGCTGCAGTGTCACAGCGAGGCTGCAGTGTGTCACAGCGAGGCTGCAGTGTGTCACAGTGAGGCTGCAGTGTCACAGCGAGGCTGCAGTGTCACAGCGAGGCTGTAGTGTGTCACAGCGAGGCTGCAGTGTGTCACAGCAAGGCTGCAGTGTCACAGCGAGGCTGCAGTGTGTCACAGCGAGGCTGCAGTGTGTCACAGCGAGGCTGCAGTGTCACAGCGAGGCTGCAGTGTGTCACAGCGAGGCTGCAGTGTGTCACAGCGAGGCTGCAGTGTGTCACAGCGAGGCTGCAGTGTCACAGTGAGGCTGCAGTGTGTCACAGTGAGGCTGCAGTGTCACAGCAAGGCTGCAGTGTGTCACAGCAAGGCTGCAGTGTCACAGCAAGACTTCAGTGTCACAGCAAGGCTGCAGTGTGTCACAGTGAGACTGCAGTGTGTCACAGTGAGGCTGCAGTGTGTCACAGTGAGGCTGCAGTGTGTCACAGTGAGGCTGCAGTGTCACAGCGAGGCTGCAGTGTGTCACAGCGAGGCTGTAGTGTGTCACAGCGAGGCTTCAGTGTCACAGTGAGGCTGCAGTGTGTCACAGTGAGGCTGCAGTGTCACAGCGAGGCTGCAGTGTGTCACAGTGAGGCTGCAGTGTGTCACAGCGAGGCTGCAGTGTCACAGCAAGGCTGCAGTGTGTCACAGCGAGGCTGTAGTGTGTCACAGCGAGGCTTCAGTGTCACAGTGAGGCTGCAGTGTGTCACAGTGAGGCTGCAGTGTCACAGCGAGGCTGCAGTGTGTCACAGTGAGGCTGCAGTGTGTCACAGCGAGGCTGCAGTGTCACAGCAAGGCTGCAGTGTGTCACAGCGAGGCTGCAGTGTGTCACAGCGAGGCTGCAGTGTCACAGCAAGGCTGCAGTGTGTCACAGCGAGGCTGCAGTGTCACAGCAAGGCTGCAGTGTGTCACAGCAAGGCTGCAGTGTGTCACATCGAGGCTGCCGTGTCACAGCAAAGCTGCAGTGTCACAGCAAGGCTGCAGTGTCACAGTGAGGCTGTAGTGTGTCACAGGGAGGCTGCAGTGTCACAGCGAGGCTTCAGTGTCACAGCAAGGCTGCAGTGTCACAGCAAGGCTGCAGTGTCACAGTGAGGCTGTAGTGTGTCACAGGGAGGCTGCAGTGTGTCACAGGGAGGCTGTAGTATCACAGTGCTGTCCCTCCCAGTGGTCTTTCAAGACTCTTATAGTGGGAATTAGATGGAAACTGTGGTGATTTTTTTATTGAGGGTGTCCATTTTTTAGTTTACTGTGGGCAGAGACAGTAAGTGGCCTACACTCCTGTTTGTATGTGTCCTAAGCTAGTCAGAGAAGTCATCCTGCACAACTTATACAGCCATGGGAGTGGCCACTCATCATGGTCATCTTCATCCACTCCCTCTGCCAACTGCGTTACTCATTTTGTAGACTATTCACTGAGTCACTTCCTCTGTAATTAGCTCATGATTTACCATGGAACCTGCCCTTACTTCCTGTCCATCTCAGCGATAGAGATATAATCAATATCATTGCTTCTCTATGTCTTATGTTAGTTGACAGACCCCCAGTGGCTCAAAAGAACCTCGAAGACCAACGCACTTAACATTCACTATCCTATGGCAGGTGCCTCACTGATTCAAAAGAAATACCAAATAGACAAAATTTGCCATACAAATAGCATAATAGTCCATATGGCTTAATAAAACACCAAATAGTTCAGAAGACCCTCCAGGCCAAATGGAAGGCAAAGCCCAAGGTAGACTGATCAGAGAGAACTTACCAAGGATTAGTAAGACATTTATTTCTCTGCTTACAAAACAAGGCATAGAGCATCTGATACTGAGTGGGTGGGAAGATTTTAAAAGGAGAAGGTTTCTTGCAATGAAATGATTCTTGCATTGTGATCCTGGCTCTACTCTCTGTAGGTGGCATTTTCTTGTCCCAACTACCCACTCTGCATCTGGACAGCTGCTTCCAAATTGCCACACAAAGACTTAGCAGTATTTATAAATGCTCAGTCAAATAGTTCAGGTTTGTTACTAGCTAACTCTTACATTTAAATTAACCCACATTTCTATTTATGCTTTGCCATGCGGCTCATGGCTTGCTACTTCATTTTCTACATGTCCTGCACGCTCAACGGCTGGCTAGTGTCTCTTCTGACTTTGCCTTCTTCTTCTTCCCAGAGTCCTCTGGTTCTGGCTGTCCCACCTATACTTCCTGCCTGGTTACTGATCTGTCAGCTTTTTATTAACCAATGAGAGTAATACATATTTATAATGTACAGAACGATTATTCCACAGCAACTCTCACTGTCAGTTTGCTTGGTATTCAATTAAAAGCCTTCTTTGGAGGGGTATCCTTTTTCTCTTTGTGGAAATCTGGGCTACCCCACACCTAAAAGGTCATCATCCTCCCAAGATCTCCCCAGCCCCAGAAATAATATTGAATGCTAGTCTTTCCCATGAGTTGTTCCCTTTTCCAGCCTATGATCAACTCATAACCCTCTAGGTCCCTTCAGTGCTCCATAATCCATTCCAGGCAGCTTCTTCTTTACTCATTTATTCCTCCCATAATAGCCTTTTCCTTCCCACATTCTGGTTTAAGTGTTCTGCCTACTGTGCATACTACTGTGGTGGTTACATCTTTCTTAACAACAATTCAAATAACCACCTGTACTTTTTTTCTCCATGGGATGTCAGGTCCAGCACCAAATCCAAACGTGAGCCTTGCTCAAAAGGAAGTGTTCCCAGCATGTACCTGTACAGAGCCTCATTCTCTGTGTTTTTTCAGTTCTAGTCCAAGACACACAGATGCAGCCCTGGAGATGAGATCTGAGGAAAGCTGGAGCCATGTTGACCTTGTACGCCGTGAAGAAGCAGATTCTGTCTCAGAAAAGTCCACCATCAATGTAGATGAGGACGATGGTGGTCTCCAAATCTGCCGTGTATGTGGGGACAAGGCCAATGGCTATCACTTCAATGTCATGACGTGTGAAGGATGCAAGGGATTTTTCAGGTATGATCATCTGTCAGCATTGGCACACTGGGTCACATCTAACTTGGATTTTTCCATTAACTGGTTGAGTGCTGTCTCAAGGCCTCAGCTGAATCGGATGTCTAGGGTCTTTGCATGGGCTAATGGCCCACCCAAAGCCCTTCTAAATGCTCCAAGACAGACACATATACTTCAGATGAATCCTCATCTTCAAATCTTCCTTCATCCACGACCCAGGAAAGGATCATTTCCATCAAGATCACACTTTGTTCCTCTCTGTATTTTTGAGTAAAATAAAAGGACAGTAAGAGGTAGGTAGAAAAAAGGAAAAGGAAAGTATTCAAATCACTCTCATATGGTAGTTGTTAAGAAAAGGATGTCATAAAATAAATCAAAACTAAGATAACTCTTTCTAGAAACAGATTTTTAAAAAGACCAAAAATAAAAACCAAAATAGCCTCATGTAAAAGAAAAAAATCCTACTTCACAATATATTAGGTCTGGACAAAAGGGTCACCATAGTCAGGTGAAGGACAGAAAGACCAGTGACAGCTCACCTTCATCGGGGGCTCAGATCCGAGGTGGGAAGGAAGACAGGAGAGATGTGAAGAACGAGCTCCAGCTCACCTAAGGAAGGGAAAGGGCTTGTGGTTCTCACCTCACATTTAAACAGTCCCAAGACAGACAGATGTTGTGTAACTTCCTGGGGAGACATCAACAAACATCTGTTCACTACAGATAGGCTGTCAACAATACACCAAGAAATTACTCTACCCAAGTCTAGCTTGGTGAATCAAGGGGTATCTATCATTTATAAGTCCATGGGTGACTAGGGCAGATGAAAAGCACCATTCAGGCACCAGGGATGGTACATATAAACTTCATTATTGGCATTTCTCTGCACAACTTGTAGGCAACTCAACAACAGTCTCCTCTACTGCAGCAATAGTTTTCAGTTCATATAACCTTTGGTACCTCATGAGTCATACATCTTCTAACTTCGTGAACTTCCTATGTGTTGTGAGCCTGCCTCCTGTATCCAGGTGGGAATGTTGCCATCCAGAGGAAACAATTACACAACAACCAATGCCTTCCTTCCTTCAGCTCTTAGATGCTTTCTAACCCCTCCTCTGAAAAATCCCCTGAACCTCAGAATGGATGATGTGTATGTCTGGTTATTTTCTTCCAATGGCAGATAAGCACTGGGCCACCAAGCAATAGTGACAACTATCAGTAATGTGACCGGTTATGAATCTCTGAAGTGACTGCCACTCACTACAAAAAGTTCCCACGACTGAGGTTGACAGTAGCGGTGATCTGTAGACATGGACATGTTCAGGAAGTGTCCTACTTTGCTTTCTGTGGCTGCGATAGAATACAGTGACCAAAAGCAGTTTGAGGAGGGAAAAGCTTACTTGCCCTAAAACCCAGATCACAGTTCATTATGCAGGGAAGTCAGGGCAGGAACTCACTGCAGAGATGTGACGGTGTAACGTAAGAACTGAAGCAGAGTCCATGGAGGAACACTCCTTGTCCCCCAGTTTACCTTTCGTATACAACCTGGAACCACTTGCCCAGGGGTAGCACCTCCCACCATGGCCTGGGCCCTTCCTTCCACATCAGTCATTAATCAAAAAAAAAAAAAATGCTCCACAGACTTACCTACAGGCCAATCTGTTATAAGCATTTTCTCAGTTCTCTCTTCTCAGGTGACTCTAGCTTATGTTAATTTGACAAAACAAACAACACAAAAAAATGAACAAACAAACAAAAAACCTAGCCGGTACAAGAATAAAACTGGCAGGCATATCATACTTGTTTAACAAAACAATAGTAGTCACCTCCAAGTGGGACCTATACCCGCTCTAGCTGTAAGATTTTGCCCTGGATTATAGTACCAAACGCGTATTCCCTCCTATGGAACTGGCCATAAATTCATAGAAAAGTTAGTATTTTCCATAACAGTTGGGTCACTACTGCACAAGCAGGCCTAGCTTGCCTGCCATGCTTATAGTGTAATAAGGTCTTAAGTGACTAGGACTGCCAGCAACAATTCTCCAGCAGTCTGCATCCCACTTTCCAGCACTGCACAAGCCAGCCAGCAGGAAGGATCTCTCAGCTCAGTCCCAGCTGGATTTCTCCATGTCTGTAACTACAGCATGGAGTGTATTTAGAAATTTACCATCTAATGCTGTCATGCAAGGCTGCAATAGTCTATGGTATGTGGGGCCTCCCACTGAATAAGCATAAGGAAGTAAACCACCTCTGGCCCTGAGATTTTCATTCACTAGCTATATGGCTCCTGGCACACCCACACCCACCCACACACACACACACCCTTCTGTTTATACTTTTTAACTGCTGTTTTTTTTCTTGTTGTTGTTTTGTTTTTTGTTTTTTTAGTTTTTCGACACAGGGTTTCTCTGTGGCTTTGGAGACTGTACTGGAACTACCTCTTGTAGACCAGGCTGGTTTTGAACTCACAGAGATCATCCTGCCTCTGCCTCCTGAGTGCTGGGATTAAGGGTGTGCACCACCACTACCGCCTGGCTAACTGCTGTTTTTAATAACTCATTCTTTCGATCAACCCAGCCCCTATTGGGTTATAAGGTAGGTGGAAGTACCATTGAACCTGGTCACCTTTAACCTAGTTCTTTACATTATTATTTATGAAATAAATACCCATGTCAATTCCTTGGGGAAGCTGGCACATAATGCCTAACACCAAGATTTATGAGAGACCCTGGAGAGTGGTTTCACTAATTGTTTATCTGTATGTACGGAAATGCTTGGACGATGCCTGTGGCCATGTCTACACAGGTGAGAGCATATTTCATAAGCATGGGCCCTCTGTAGCCCGGCTGCCAATCCCATATGAGATAGGTTGAATTACATACTTGCATCATCATATCATCTATTGGGGCTGTGGTTGGAAACAACCTTACATGTTTGGGCACTATGAGAAATATCAGACTATCTCATGAGACTTTATTTCTCAACCTTTGTTAGCTGCCCCTTGGCCAGACTGTACATGAATCTAATGAGCCACCTCTACTGGGATCTGGGGACAGATGGCCTGTATTTGGGTAAGGCTGTCCTTTTTCTGTCTTCTGAGAGGACTCAGCAGGCTATGGCTGCTAGTGGGAAACTTCAGGGGCTCTGATTCTTGTTGAATGCTATTATATATTTCCTTCCATATCTGTTTGTCCTCACTGTGGACAAACCAACAACTTTGAAATGTCCAATTCTCAATGAGTCATTCCTAAAGTCAGGCCTCTGTATACAGTACAGCTTGTTGTAGGCCTGGTCTCAGGAGTTACTATTATCCAAGTTGCTGTTCAACTCAGCCTGCTGGCTACTCCTCTCCTGTCAGCCACATGGTGTCAGTATTTGTTTGTATTGCAGCAGCCATTCATTCCTACATAAGCAGGTGTCATCTCTCTCAGCACTTTATTTGGCTTGAATGGTGGTCTAGTCTGTAGGGGATGCTTGAAGGCTCAAAAACAAAACAAACTAACAAAAACCTCACAGGTTCTAGTGGAGACTTTATGGGTGACAGAGCAAATACCACATAAATTGTGGTAAACAAGCATGTTACCTTTGCAGAGTTTGATTCTGTGCCATCCAAGAGGCCTTCAGTCCAAAACTTGATTGTATGCGATGTTTTCCCTGTTGCTACCGCAGAACTGGTAATGGATCCCATTCTTGTGTTTCATATACAACGTGCAATTGCTGTTCTAGTGAAGTTAATGAGATTCCAACCCTCTCCGCTGTGGGATTGATGCCATGCAGGAACTGTTGCTCAGGTGGTTTTTGTCATGCCCCTCCTCCTCCAGCCCTCTAAGCTGCTGGTGGTGTCTAACACAAAGGCATCCTGAGGTATTCTGCCCTATCTGGCTAAAATGCTTCTTTCTGTCCCAATCTGCCCAGCCCCTCCCTCTTATCAAGTTATGCAAAGGTTAGGCAACTTGGGTAACATGGAGCACAAACATTCACCAAGACCCCAGGAGACCCAAGAACACCTTGCCAGGGTTGTAGTGGGGGCCACCTATCCTGTTTATCTTCCATTCCATCTGCCCTTTTTGGCAAACTGACATTCAAGTCGTAAAGCCTTCCAGAGAGGAGCATGGCGTTTGCCTTTAAATCACCCCCCCCCACTAAAAACACTGCCATATTTGCTTTCACGTGACCCAAGGTACCACCATTCCTTTCCCCTTGATTCTGTCTGTCCATTGATGCTTTAGCACGCTAAGACCCTGATTTGCTGACGATCTAAATTGCTCAGATCCACCAAAGCCTCTCCTACCATTACAAAGCCCATACCTGCACTGAAGTCTTTGTTAAATAACCTCTTAATTTTTTTGTTTGTTTGCTTTTAGAGACAGGGTTTCTCTGTGTAGCCTTGGCTGTCCTGGAGCTCACTCTTTAGACCAGGCTGGCCTCAAACTCACAGAGATCCTCTTGCCTCTGCCTCCCAATTACTGGGATTAAAGGTGTGCACCACCAACACCCAGCCCGCCTCTTAACTTCTTAACTCTCATACTAACACACTCCTATCTGGCCCTAAAAACCAGACACAAAACACTGCCTGTCTCATGCTTATTTCTATTAGTAATTGCTGTCATTGCTCTATTGCCTCCCAGCCCCTAATACTCATGAGGACTTCAGCTGGTGATAACCAAGTGTGTGATGGTCATATGAACATACCCCTCAGGGACTGATTCCCTCATATGTCTTCAGGTTACTCAGCTTTTGCCTCAAAGAGGATTGTGTCGACTTTTATCACTCAGATTGTTCCTAGCTATTGGCATGTCCCACAGCTACACGCTCCAGGGTGTGAGAGGCTCCCGTTTAAGTCTGTCTCAGCTCACACAGATCTGAGGTGGTGTTTCCTGGTTTTCGTGGTTTCCTGTACTGGGCCATTTTTAAGGCCTCCTCATGCTGCTGGGTCATGGGATTCTCTCTTCCTCCGTATTAAAGGTTGAACTGAAGAAAGTCTTCTATCATTTCTATGTCTCTGTTCCTTATGGTCCAGTTCTTCCCATAGCTTCTTAGTTCGGGATCCCAGGACGACTTCTTTTCTCTGTCATATGTCTTCCCAGGTGTAAGAAATGGGAAATCAAACATCCTCCCTTTGCCCACCCACTGAATGGCAGTGTGTAAGGTGCACCTGTGCATTTCCCAGTAGACTCCCTCCCTTTGCAATAGAACTATCTCGTCCATCATCATTTTGTGGAGTGTCCCCATACTTGAGTGACAGACCCCATTTACCAAGGGGATGTGTCACCCCATGCCACGTAAAAGAAAATGGTCACCCTACGGTTCTTCCCAAGGATGCTCTACTCTCAGAAGGTGCAGCCTGAATTATGTGTCTTATCATCCTCTGCAGGGGCGACCTTTGCTTCTGTTGGTCCTTGCCCAAGTACTGATGTGTCACGCAACTTTTCCTGGGGACACAAGAATAAACTATGTACCTCAGATAGGACAGAGTGGATAGATCAAAGAAATGGTTGCACCTAAGTCTAGCTTGGTGAATGAGTTTATGGGACACATTTACAATAGTGTGGCTGAGGGGTTAATTACAGGAGCAGGGATGACTTGGGCAGATTCATCATTAAAAAGCCCTCCTGCAGCATGGGAGATAATGTATGAAAACATCAGTGGATTTTCCGTGCACAGTGGTCTCTTCTCCTCCAGAAACTGCTCGTTCCTTATATAGCTATGGGAGAAGGACTTCCCTCTGGAGTCTTGAGTTTTGTGAGCTTGATGAGTCTTTTGAACCCCACTTCTCCCTCTAGGATGGAATGTTCCAGCTTAACTTGACCAAGTTTTTGTTAGTGATTGGTCTTTTAAATGGAAATGAATGTTCAAGCCAGGACTCATCCACCAAAGACTCAGCTGTTTGTCCCTTACAGGAGGATATGCAGTCCTTGATGATTCCAAGAGGGTATACAGTTCTATGTTATGATCAGGTTGGGGTTCCCAGATCCCTGGCCATGGGGAGCTGTTCTCAGGTCACATGGGGTTAACTCTACTCAGGATAGGTCTAAAGGCACCATGACCTAGGGAGACATAAACATTGCCTACATAGGCTACACATCATCAGTGCCAGGCCATGTCCAGCCTTAAGTCACAGAACACTTGGATCAGCTAATGGGAAATAAGGGAATGGTGTGACCAATTACAATGAGAAATCTGAAGCTTCCTGAGTTGATGAGCCTGTGTGTTTCTCTTTGACTCACACGAGAGCTCTGATTTTAGTTAGTCTGGCTCCACTTGGGAAAGCATAGCGCCAGGATACCCAGACAATAAAAAAGGGGAACCAAGGGGGAAAAAATCTGTCCCAGAAGACACGATCACATCATGTAGGCCAGAGCTGGCTTCAGCCTACTCCTGGGTCAGTCACTAGCAAAGAGCACCAGCTAAATCACTTACCTGAGCAAGTATCACAAACCCATATATGAAGTCAAGTTCTGGTTCTTCAAGACAGAGAATCTGTTCAAGCAGCTTCTATGGGGATTGTCCCATAGAATCCTCCCATTTAGGTGCCATCCTGGGACACCTAGAGGGAGGTGAGGTATCAGTAGTTGGAAGTGGGCTGCTTATCAAGCAAACTTGAACTCAAAGTTTGTCACTTACCTGGAGGGCAGGTGATAATGAATCTCCATTGATGTTCCGGGGTTGAGGGTATGGGAGGAACAGATGAATTTCAAGTCTTTAAAAGTCCACAAAACAAGTAGCCCAGCATCTGATATATAGTATGTTTCTGATGGATAACAGTTCCTTTTATCTGTTCTTGGAGCATTTGGGGATAACATCAGGAACCTCTTACCTAGGTCTGCAGCAGAGGCAAATATGAGAATGTGACATCCATGGACCAGATGGTCTGAGCCCCCAAGCTGATCTCAAGTCTGCCTGTAAAGTTACAGTGAGCTCAGTCTCTAGTCCAGGCCTCCCAGCATCTCCCTCATCTGTTCCCATGGTTCCAAGCCAGCTTCTCTCATTTCCCACACTGCTGGACAGAACAGAGGCCAGAATCAAGGGACAAGGGTCATCCAGAATGGAAATGAAGGGAAACATTTGTTTGGGGCATCGGTGGCTGTCCTTGGTGAGAAATCCAGGATGGTTTGGCTGTAAAGAGAGAGTGGTCTGACATCACTAGGTGTCCACCTGCAGCTGCCTCTCTATACAGGCCGTGGCCCTTCAGCACCCTTCAAGCTAGTGACAGAGAAGCTGTGGCAGAGCCCCAACTCCACCCCGGGCTCTGTTCTACAGAGCTGCCAACCTCCCCACTCCAGGCCAGTCGGAACCCACTAGACGGGGAACTGGAGAAGGGAAAGGACTGTGGCTAGAAGCTGCTGAGGTAGGGAAAGTGAGGGCTGGAGGTAAGCGGTGCAGGTGACAGGCTTCCTCTGACTCCATTTTCCAAGGAGAAATCCAGTTAGAAGCCTATCTCCAGCCGAACGTGGTGGGGCATGCCTTTAATCCCAGCACTAGGGAAGTAGAGGCAGGGGATCTTAGTGAGTTCCAGGCCAGCCTGGTCTACAAAGTGAATTACAGGACAGCCAGGACCGTTACACAGAGAAACCCTGTCTTGAAAAACAAACAAACAAACAAACAAACAAACAAACAAAAATACTGACAGCTTCCAAAATAATACAGAGAAACCCTGTGTCGAAAAACAAATAAACACACAACAACAAAAAAGAAGCCCATCTCCATTAGTAACAAGGTATGAGGAAGGATGGGAGGTGTTTTGGGAAGGGCAGGGAGCCTGCAGTTGACTTGTCCTGGAGAGAGGCTCTGGAGCTATACCCATGAAGAACACGTCTCATTTCCTGTAGAATCATCTCAGAGATCTCCCCCTCTTCTGAGTCCCCGACTTTAGGGTAGAGTGTCAACCTACACATGTCCTGTCTGCCTGTGGCAGGGGCTGAAGAGACAGTATGACCGGTAGCGCCTAGGCCAGGAGCTGCGCACCCCTCATAGACTACCTAATACTTTTTCTTGTCCCACAGAAGGGCCATGAAACGCAATGTCCGGCTGAGGTGCCCCTTCCGCAAGGGGACCTGCGAGATCACGCGGAAGACACGGCGGCAGTGCCAGGCCTGCCGTTTGCGCAAGTGCCTGGAGAGTGGCATGAAGAAGGAGAGTGAGTGGCCGGGGTAGGGGGTAGGGGGCCCAGGCTTGGTGGACTGGGCCAGGTGCCAGAGAGCTGAGGCACCAGAGCGCATCTGCATACCATGGCTCCAGAGCTCATGTGCGGCCATGAGCCTGTGGGACTTTGGAGATAAGGGGCACCAGCGCTCTGCTGCAAGGAGGGTGGCGGGAGACACCGGCCGGGTCTGTGTTCTCCCCTTCTTCCCTGCTGTCCCTGCATGGCGCCCTTTGTCCTCATGTATAACTGGTGTATGGAGGCGTGGGGAGGATGCCCCCTAAGGTGCACATGTGCTGAAACCTGCTTCGTTAACTCACAGTGATCATGTCCGATGCTGCTGTCGAGCAGAGGCGAGCCTTGATCAAGAGGAAGAAGAGGGAAAAGATTGAGGCTCCCCCATCTGGAGGGCAGGGCCTGACTGAAGAACAGCAGGCGCTGATCCAGGAGCTGATGGATGCTCAGACGAAGACCTTTGACACCACTTTCTCCCACTTCAAGGATTTCCGGGTAGGTGCTCAGAGCTTGGCCCACGTCCATGGCTACGCCAGCTCCTCAAAGACGGCCACTTTCCCAGGGTCTCTCATGCTGTGGTTGGCACCAGGATTCCCCAAGAACTTGCCAGAAATGGGGAAATCTCAAAATCCTTCCCCCGACCCTGAACTCTGGGATGGGAAACCCTTTGGTTACTCCCCAGCTGACTGAGGTTGGGGAATGTCTACTCTCTGACCACAGCAGTAGGAACTGGTGGAGGCAGGCATGGTGCCTGCCCTGAGTTGCTGTGAGGACAGTCAGGTGCAGAAGGGTATGTCTTTGCTGAATGTCTGTCTTCCTTCCCAGTGTCACCCCTCTCTTCTCCAGAATGGTCACAAGCAGTTCAGGTGACTGGACCAGCAAAGAGGAAGTGTCTGTCTGGCTCCCACACCCCAGTCTCTGTGTTTCCATCTACAACAGTGATTCTCAACCTTCCTAATGCTGCGACCCTTTAATACAGTTCATGCTGTGTTGACCCACAATAAAATTATTTCTTTACAACTTCATAACTGTAATTTTGCTACTGTTATGAATCGTGATGTAAATTGCTACCTCCTGGTTGCGGAGCACTGATCGGCAGCTCCATACCCGTATCTCTGTCTCCTGGGCCCAACAGGGGGATGCTTAGGCAAGGAGGCCTCCTTCACCCTTCACACTGACCATTAATTCATAGAACACCACCTGTCAGACAGACTAAGGAACAAGGGCTGTGTGTGTGTGCATGCGCACGCATGTGTGTGTATACATACATATATGTATATATATGCACATATGTGTGCACACCTATGATCATTTTTCTCAGACTATAGCTTGGTCATCAGGGGTCTATGTGGTGACTTGTCTATGACAACACACTGCCCCTCCTTTCTTTGCTTCTTGCCCTCCATGCCAGCTGCCTGCAGTGTTTAACAGTGGCTGTGAGCTCCCAGAGTTTCTGCAGGCCTCGTTGTTGGAAGACCCTGCTGTATGGAGTCAAATCATGAAAGACTCGGTTCCAATGAAGATCTCTCTGAAGCTTCGGGGAGAAGACGGCAGCATCTGGAACTACCAGCCCCCATCCACGAGCAATGGGAAAGAGATCATCCCTCTGCTGCCACATCTGGCCGATGTGTCAACTTACATGTTCAAGGGTGTCATCAACTTTGCCAAAGTCATCTCCTACTTCAGGTAGGTCTTGGGGGAAAAGTAAATGGTCAAATGTTTCAAAGAAATCTGCAGTAAATCCCCACAAACTTGGGATAAACTGGTGTCAAAAGACCGTTTGTTGTCTCTGCCCCGGGGGACCACTGCTACTGGAGAATAAAGCCTATATGGTTCATGAGTTTTGTTGCTGTGGGTTTCTCAGTTTTCCCGTTTCGGAATGGGAAGTGATCATATCAACCTTGTAGGGTGTCTTAGTTAGGGTGTCTATTGCTGTGAAGAGACACCATGACCATGGCAACTCTTATAAAGGAAACATTTAGTTGGGTGGCTTACAGTTCAGAGGCTCAGTCCATTGTCATCATGGTGGGACATGGGGCATACAGGTAAGCAAGGTGCTGGAGAGGTAGCTGAGAGTTCTACATCTTGCCCAGGCAACACGAAGTGAACTGAGACACTAGGTGGTATTTTGAACATAGAAGACTTCAAAGCTCCATCCCACAGTGACACACTTCCTCCAATAAGGCCACACATACTCCAACATCCAATAGTGCCACTGCCTTTGAGCTTATGGGGGGCAATTACATCCAAACTACCACATAGGGCTGATGAAATGAGAAAACATCTGGAGAACATTGGCAAATGCTGGTCTTCCTATTTTGCCCATAAGGTCAGAAACCATGATTGGACATTTTCAGACTAAAAGTTGAGTTGAAAGGAAAAAAGAAGAAAGTACATAGAAAAAGAGAGACGTGGCGTTTCCATCTGTCTGCCAGCAAGCAGGCCATGGGAGGGTGGCTGGTCCTGTAATCCAATAGACCACATCTCCCTAGGGCTGGGCATGGAGGCAATTATTATGAACAATGGTGTCAGCAGGAGAACCTGGAACCTGATGGTATGGTGGGAACCACCACTCTATAAGATGGAGTTAGTCTGTTGTGCTAGGGGCAATGCCAGGTGTGTCTGCAACCTGGTCCTCCACCTTGCCTTGCCCGATGTGGTCAAGTAGAGCTGACTTGCACATGTGAGGAGGATATTGTCAGGCAGAAAGCAGATAATAGGAGTGTGACACAAGGTCTTCATTTCTGCGGAGAAACAGTTAGGAACATGTATGCATTAAATTAGCATCAGGTAGCAACTATTTCCAGTGCAAGGCATGACGTGTTGAAAGATTCCACTCTCTAGAAACACTTCTGGGAAGGGAAAACACTCCTTGACCTGAAAACTCACCAGGATTTACTTAAAGGGGCAATCATTCCATGTAGGCAAACAGAGGTAAATGTTTGTGAGGTTAACAAGGTAGAGCCAAGGCAATAAATGTTGGTCAGAGGCTGTGCAGGGTGTTGGAAGAGACAGGTCTGGACATAAAGCTAAGGAAGCATGAAGAGTTCCTGGAGGTTGGAGAGAAGACCTCAGTAGGCAAAGTAAGCCGGTGACCTGGATTATGAGGGAGGGGGTTGGAGGCAACCTGTGCCCAGCCTCCCTAGGAGCTGTCATCACCTCCTGTCCTTGCTGCCAGGGACCTGCCTATTGAGGACCAGATTTCCCTGCTGAAGGGAGCCACTTTTGAGATGTGCCTACTGAGGTTCAACACGATGTTCGACACAGAAACTGGAACCTGGGAGTGCGGTCGGCTGGCCTACTGCTTTGAAGATCCTGATGGTGCCTACAAGATACCTGGCAGAGGGAGGGAGGGAGACAACAGCTGAGGGAGACTGGGTGAGGGAGAGAAGGTGAGGGAAGCCTGAGTTTTGAGTCAGGTGCCTGAGGTGCTGGCTGTCTATCCTATACCCACCCCACAGGTGGCTTCCAGAAACTCCTGCTGGATCCGATGATAAAATTCCACTGCATGCTGAAGAGCCTGCACCTGCATAAGGAGGAGTACGTGCTGATGCAGGCCATCTCCCTCTTCTCCCCAGGTGATGGAGTCCCCCAACTGCTGGCTACCCCCAGCAATCTGCAGGAGGCAGCGACCCTTCTGTCCTCCCCAGGGAAGGGCTCAGCCATCATCAACCTTGCATCCCACGGCACAGGCAGACCTTTGTTTGAGGTGGCTGGCCAGCAATTCCTTTATCCTGGCTGGCCTGAGCTTTCCTTTGGCCCTCTCTGCCCTGCCTGGCACCACAATGCCTTCCCTTCCTCTCTCAGACCGTCCTGGCGTGGTACAGCGCAGTGTGGTGGAGCAGCTGCAGGAGAGATTTGCCCTCACCCTGAAAGCCTACATCGAGTGCTGTCGGCCATATCCTGCTCACAGGTGAGGATGAGCAGGGAGGGGCAGATGTGAGGGGGAGCCTTCTTGCCCCTCACTTTGGGCCTGATTTCCAAGTCCCTGCCATGCCTGGGGCAGCTTTTGAAGACCCAGGCTCTGGGACTGTTTTGTCACCTCTATGAAGACTTCCAGTCTGAATCTAGCAGAGGGATACTTGTCTGCCCAGGGCTTTCTACATTTCTGTCAACGAGGTGTGGGAAGAGCCTGACTCTACTGTCCCTCAAATAGGGTCTGCTACCAGAGACCAGTAGCAACCATAATGATGGGAGTAACTATATGCATCTGTAATAGCTACTATTGGTTGGGAAGTGTCAGTCTTGGGGCCAAGAAGGTGATGCATATTATAACCTGTAACATTCAAAACAACGCCTGAAGTGGGTGCCAACATCATGCCACAAGGGATCCAAGGCTTTCCTGGATTTCACAGGGTGGAGGGCTGGAGCCTGGTAGTTAGAGGATTGTCACAACTCAAGCTTGTCAAGGGAACCTGCTTGGGGACTGGCACAGAAAGAGTTCCTGTGCCTTCACCAGTCCTCAGATGCCTATGTCCCAGTGCAGTCTCATGTCCGCAGGCATGAAGACAGCAACAAACCTGATTACGATGAGCCTAAGGCTTTGAAGACTAAGGAAAATTTTGGGTATTATAGTGTGGACTTGAAGAACCAATCTTTACTTGGCCTGTACTTTTCTGTTCAGCATCCTGGGATGCTGGGGTTGGGGGGGGGTGATGGTTATATCTTTTTATTCAGTTACTTTCTGCAAGGAGGCTGAAGGTGCTGGCTTCCTTACCTATCATGGGGAAACCAAGGTAAGTGTGTGTTCAGATGTTGGATGCAGCAACAGATCTAGGAAAGGACTCCAGACTACAGGTCCCAGTTGTAGTTGACTACATATCAAGACATTAACCAAGATGATGACTCCTCTCACCTCCATATTAACCCATTAATTTGGCACCTGCAAGGCCTGAGCTTTCTACATGGGTCTCTGTGTACAGGACTCAGCTGGTGGGGGTGGGGAGGGAGGAGGTAGATTACAGCTTCTACCTTCTTACACAGAGGCTGAAGGAATTCCAAGTCTCCTAGCTTGGCTGATCTCGGATTTTCTGAGATTGAATTTGTGTGCTCTCAGAACGGGGTCAGTATGGTGGGATGGAAAAGGGTGGGGTGAAGCCCCAACTGTTTCTCTGGCTGCCTGCAGGTTCCTGTTCATGAAGATTATGGCTGTCCTCACTGAGCTGCGCAGCATCAATGCCCAGCAGACCCAGCAGTTGCTGCGCATCCAAGACACACATCCCTTCGTCACCCCCCTCATGCAGGAGTTATTCAGCAGCACAGATGGCTGAGTGGCTGCCCCTGGGTGGAGATCCCATGGGTCAGCCAGACCTAGACATTCTAAATCGCCACTTCTAGGGCTAGACAGATGGACATACCGATAGCCAACATTGGCCTATGACTGCGGCTGGCTAGCATTCCCCTGGAAAAGGACATGGAGCCGCAAGTTCAGCCTGTGGAAAGTTCTGGCCTATGGGCTAGCCCCATCCTTGTGCTAGGGAACAAAACCCCAAATCCCACTAAATTCTAAAGTGTTGGGTGGGAAAGGAGGAACCAGGTCAAGCTATATAAGGGTGTACACGCCCCACCCGTTCCCAACCCCAAGCTTCCTCTTGAGCCCCTTCTGTGTTCCAGACTTGAGCTCACCATCAGGCTCATTAGCATCACTGCTGAATGCCAGAAGCTTGTCATGACCTTGATCTGGACACATCACTCAGCTTCCTGCATCTGACCAAACACACCATTAATCGCTAACATTGTGACCTTCTGTGGACTCAGATATGGATCCCAGCCTCAGAGTTCAAGAAGACAAAGCTAAAATGGCTATTAATAGCTTGTAAAAAACTTCTTGTAACAGCTTATGTGGACCCTAAGGAAGGCCATGTGACATAGTCAAGTAGCTCTGTGTGGGTTCTGAGCTGCACTGGGGTTTTGTGGGTAACTGGAAGCCAAATGAAGGTTCCCAAATGCCAGGTACTTGTTGATGAAGGGGTGGGAATTGTTGACTGTGGGGACCTGTATGTGACTTGGTGTGGGTCTGGCTTGCTCCCAAAACTGGAGCACTGAGGTGATCTATGATAAGGCTACAGTGACAGACAATAAATGTGTGATGGCAGAATTACCTGGGTACGCCAAACTCTGAGTACACTTGGATCCTCAAAGCTGAGTGTATGGAAGTATCTGCCTCATTTGGAATAGTTTGTGGGACTGTCTGCCTTTCCCAAGTTCCGCCTCACTTCCACACTGGGTGCTCCATGCAAGTGTGTTCCTGGGTTTAACGTCAGATCAAGACAGGAGGATTTCAATAATGAAATTCTGGGTAGAGATATAAAGCATATTTTTAAAAAGATTTTATTATGTGCGTATGTGTGCATGTGCACGTGTGCTGGTGCCTGAGGAGGCCAGAAGAGGGCTTTGCATCCCCTGGAGCTGGAGTTACAGGATGCCGTGAGCCTCCCCATGTGGGCGCTCGGATGAACTCTGGTCCTCTGGAAAAGCAAGTGCTCTTAAACCGCTGAGCCATCTCTCCAGTCCCTATTTTTTGACTTTGTTTTCTGGGGAAGAAAAAAAAATGTGAGAATGAGAAAATAGAAGTAAAAACAGAGCCGGGTGAGGCTGAGGTTAAGAACACAGAACAGTCTGGGCAAACAGTAAGACAGTGTCTCAAAAAAAACCAAAACACAGCTCCTCGATTCCCCAAACCAAACCAAACCACACATACACATTTGTACTCCTTATTTCAGTGCTACCTTGTATAAACCTGACAACCTGCTGGTAGAGCATAAAAATGAAATCAATCACCTAATTAGCTTTTGTGTTTATTACATATAAAAATGCACACATAAAATGTAGTAACCAAAGTTTGAATGTGTGATAATATCCCATTGCAAAGGAGGCTGAAGGTAACTGGATTCTAACGGGCAGGTAACTATGTAACTCTAGCCATCTTACAAGCAGGTCAAACCACAATAGCATCAGGTTAACACAAGCCAAAACAAGCAAGCATATTCCCTACCCCCACCCCCCAGTTTCTACACAAAGCATTCATGTTTGGAAGAGAAAAATTGAGCCCCTGTCACCAAATTCATGAATATAGCTTTCACTCCATGAAATTTGGAATAATTAGACTTGGTTATAACTAGAAATATTTCTCGTTTAGAAATTTAAATTCCATTCAACTATGTTCATAAACCATACATGCATCTCTCCTTCCTCTGGGAAGTTAACTGTTTCTACTCATTCGAAAGCCTGATAGTGGTCAGACGCAGTTCTGAGAATTAAGATTTAATGCAGAATACACCTCCCACCCCAGCTTATATTTAAAACACCCAGGCAGTGCTCCAAACACTAAACTAGTAAGGTCATAGGAATTCCAGACAGTAGGCACTTATTCCAAGTGAAGAGTGAAGGTTGGCAGCACGAAGGAGTGCACAGAGGCTATACATCCTCCTAGCAGCCATGGCTAGGTTTTAAGACTTGGAGTTCCAACTTCCCTGCTCTTCAGCATCTGGTTTCCTCCCCGCCCCCAAGCCCCAGGAACTTTGGGATAAGTAGAAGCAAGCACTGATTTCTAGGCATCTGGTGTCAACGGTCCTTTTCCTGGTTTCCCACTCAAGAGGACCCCGAAGTGCAGGAGAAAGGATCTGTGAGCCACTGTACTCTTCTGCTCCGCCATCACTAGAGTCACTCAGCAGCCACTGTCTAAAGTCTTGACATGAATAAGAGATCTTCATGTGGGATGCCCAGGAAGGGCCCTTGTTTTCTGGAGGAGGGGGGAAGGGACTTAAAAAAAAACCACCCCACCCATACCCCATCATTGACCAGCAACCCAGCTCCAGATAGCTCGCCAGCCTCCAAAGCAGTTGCTTCACTTTCTATAGCCAGAGCTCTCCAACACCTCAAGGTGCTCAGAGACCATTCCAGCCATGTTCATGAACTGTGCCATCCCTGTTGCTCTCCTGCAAGTATGACCTTTTGGAAGGACTCAGAACTAATGAACCTTTCAGGAATGTGAGGGAAAGTTGGCAGGTCCTTCAGTTCTAACGCACATGGCCAGGGTAGGTCCTAAATCACCCCGCTGCAGAGCAGTCCCCTCCTCCCCTCCTGCCAGTGCTGTAATTGCAGGCAGGTGGCACCACATTGAGCTAAAATGTTAATGTAACTAGCCCACTAAATAAAAGACCACACTTAATCGAATATAAATTTGTCTTTATTGAAGCAGCAGTCACATGACCTTATATCTAACCTTTAGGTCTGACCATGAGCCAGCCCTAAAAAAATGGTGTTTCTGTTTCCACTAAGAGACATAACATGTTAACATACATTATCCAGTATTGGAAATGAGCAGACTCAAACACGTGTTGGTTATACGGGTGACACAGACCCACTGTCCATGGTGTTCATGTTTTACAGAGACTCCCAAAGACCGTTACTGATGGAAGTTAAAAGAAAATACAGTCACACCAAACCATGGACATAGTAACCAAAGACAGCAGCTTACACATGTTTTTACAACCGTCCCTTTTAGGGATATTTTCTTTCTTTCCAAAGCAGTGTCTGTAAAACTTCCTCTATATTAAGTCCAGGGGTTTCCAAGCCGGAAGCTGCACCTCCTGTCTACACATCAGAGAAAGGTCATTTCAAATAATGAGTCGTGTGTTTCTATGTTGACTTTTATAACAAGGATTCATGTCTCCCCAGTTAGAGGAGAGGCGATGGCGACGTGACTACATGTTGCAATGGCAAAGTAGGCAGGGTGAAGAAAGAGGGGTGGGCACTGAAATAAAGACGACACACTTGGGAATTTTAATTTCATTTCCAGGCTAACCTACTTTTTATTTAATGCAAATTACAGTACCAGTTAACTATTTCCAAACCAAGTCACATAGAACGAAATGTATTTACAAGGGAATGGGGGAAGGGGAAAAAAACATTGAGCATACTTTCCACAAAAAGTTTATATTTAAAATGAAAAAAAAAAAAACAAACTCAGTCACAGAGGCATTCAAGTAGTAATGTTATACAGCGTTTGCTTTTCCTTTATATCAAGACAGATTTGCACAAGTGTTTGCAATAGTTGTATACAACCCACAGTCCTTTATATATATATATATATATAATAATAAATTTTGTTTAGATTTGCTTTTAAGATGGAAGTGGTCACGCTAATTGGTATGTGTACAGGCCCCAGTGATCCATCGGCAACACATTTATAAATGCAAATTTTACAGGCAAGCACGTTTCCATACATCTATCTGTATCTGCCTGTAGACAGATATAGTAAGAAAAAAATTAAAAATTAACACAAGGTAGTCTACTTTGTCAAGCTAACCCCTTATGTACTGGCTATAATTTTGCTTGTATTGTGGAGATACACAACGGAACAACAAACTTGAATAAAATGGCATAACCCAGTGAAAAGGATCCAGACCCCAGGGATCACTTCCGAGGCCTCTCCAAGGAGACCTCAGTCTGGGACTCTCCTGTGCTTCCAGCTGTGTCTTTATGTTCAGTGGCTTCACCATAAGGGATGCTGACTTTTGCATACAGGGGAGAAATGTGTTCATCTCTGTGATTAGAACAATCAGTAGTGTGAGTAGGAGCCAGACAAATTTTGACTTAAAACAAAGAAACAAAAACCCCAACTTCTGGGAGATCTGGCATTGGCCAAACTTCCTTTGGAAGATTCCAAAGTTAAAACCCTTGCAAAGGGAAGGGAAATGTAACAGAAATGCCAGTGTCTTTACATCCACAGGGATAGAGAATACAGTCCTTTTAGGACCTCTGCATTGGCGTGGACAGGATGACCGGGAAGATATACTTTGCTAAAACGTAAACCTAATAAATAGGTCTAAAAAAATTAAGGACTTAAAAAAATGACACAGCACATTATGGGAAAGAAGGTGCAGTCTTCTGCCATGTGCAATAAACACATGATGTCTCAAAAGTAGCAACCTTTGGTTTGGTAGTGGTTTTGTTTTTGTTTTCTTTCTTGTATTCAAGACATACGAAGCAGTTGGTGGCGAAATGAATACTTTTTCTTTTCCTTTCAAAAGGCCATATCGGGCAGTTAGGAAACTGATTTTTAAAAAAGAAGTTAAAATGATGTTTCATCCAACAAGATGGCAGGAGGGAGGCATGGGCTCAGAGTCCATTTGACAGACCTCATCCACACAGCACTACACCGGTGAAGTAACTGCTAACAATGTCACCAGGGCACCCAGACCACTGACCTACCAAAACCCACATGCCACCAAGACAGCATGACTTGGTGTTTTTTGTTTGTTTTAAGATAAAATAAAACCAATGTCTCTTTCTCTTGCTTGGGAGGGAAGTAGGTAAGGAGAGGGCGAGCATGGGAGGTTCCCAGAGTCTGCTACGAGGCCCATGTTAGGGCTTGGAGAAAATGTGAGCAAAACCCAATCAGTTAGACATCCACCAGCTCTGGGATTCCTGCACTCCACCAAGTCCCGGCATGAAGTGTGAAATGTAACAGTTGCTGTTACTCAGGAGGAGACAGACACACCCAGAACCAAAACAAAGGCAAAGCTACAATGAAGTAAGATTTCAAACATGATTTCCTCTCCCCACTCAAACTGTGGAGGGGGCCAAGGTGCTATTACATTATAACTTCAGAGGGACACATGGATAAAGGAAATCAATTAAACAAAACGAAAACAAAAAAACCCAAATACATGGAAGCGAAGGCACTCCAAACTATATAGATACACTATACATTGCTAGAGTTATTGTTACAATAATACAGGCCGGTACCTACTGTACAGAGTTAAAACTATATGGCTTTAAAAAGCTCGTCTACATTTTTGTCTGGTTATTAAACAGAATCACTGCCCTGAACAGTAACTTTTTGCTCATTAATAACAGTTCCTGGGTCCACATATTTACATACAAAACAATAAAACTTAAATTTAAAAACATTGAAAGAAAATATAATATACAAGCTTGAATTTGGTGAGGAGCTTTTAATTATTATTATTTACAAAAAGATATTCAGAGACCTGGATCTCACTTGTGTAAGAGTTCTGTGATCCTGCCATGATCCTTGAGAAAAAAAAAATCATGCACCTCAGCCCTCACATACACACATGTGCGGACACACACACACACACACACACACACACACACACACACACACACACACACACACACACACACAGGTTCGAGAAAAGCACCTGACTTTCCTCTGCTCTTCTCTTCCCCCATCTGGGGTGTCGGGGTATTTGCTAAAACAAGCACTGATTTTTATGGACTCTAGCAAGTACATCAAGTCCGGAGTAGTGTCTGTGTCTGGCTGGGCAGTTTAATCTGAAAGCAGGTTCCCTCTTAGGCCACAGACCCGCTTGTTCAGATTCTCTACAAATTCTTCCTGAAAATGGTCTTCCAAGTCATCCCTTCAAGGAACTATGTTGTCCAATACTTTGATTCCAGAATTCTTTCAAACTGTAATTCTCTCTCAGAAGCACTTCACAGAAAGTAAAAGAGTAAAAGCCTATTTGATGGTTAGACTAAGCATGCTTCCTTTCTTGTGAACTTTGATATAAGCAGAGGTTGAGGAAACCCTTTTGGTGGCCCAAAGCTCTTAGCCACACAATAAGTCGATGGCTCACCGCTGTCTTTCTAGTATCGATTCATTTCGGCAGGCAGCACAACTCTCTTGGAGAGTTACACTCAGGGTTGAAGAGGCATGACAGGGTGCTAGGACCTGTATAAGGGCTGCCAAGAGACCCCTCTCTCTAACCACCTGGAAGGCAAGACCCCCAACATGACTTAAGGTGATAATGATGGTAAATGAGGCTACACACAACTGAGGGCTCTGCAGGCCTCGTCATCGGCTACCTTAGCAGATACGTGGGGAAGGAGGGAGGAGGAAGGAAAGGAGGCCATCACTCAAGAGATCTTTACATGTAAAAGGTAACTGATTGTGCCTTAAAGATTCATAGGTCAAGTAATGGCCCGTAAGCACCAAGGTTCATTTTAGAGTATATAAGGCCCACAAAGATACCAACCTTAAAAGGATCAACAAACTAGTTATGAATTCTGTTCCTCACTCAAACGTAATCCTTCAATCCTCCTTGCTTTCCAAGGAATATTGCTTTTTCTTCAAAACACAAGAGACTGATTCTTACACCATTCATTGATAAACAAAGAAAACTAAAACAAAACTCTTACTGGTTGGGGGAACATTCCTTTTCATGATTCAGTCAGTCAATTTTGAGACTGTAGACAAAAAGAAAAGGCAGTATTGAATATATGTATATATAACATATATACACACATTGATATAATCAGTTTTCCTATAAAGTTAGCAGGTACAGATGACTTTATCATTTTGATGTGTGGTTTTTAATATGCCTACCATTTAAAATCATAATGGCTTATCTGACATGCATCAATAAATAAATTTAAAAAGCATGATGTTAAAAAGCAGAAATTAAATACAGAGTCTAGATTTGGATTTAAAATTAGAACTATGCGTAAGAATGTGGCAATTCTTGCAAACTTGATTTTCAATTAAAATATGAAAAATAAAGCAGTAGACGTTAGAGTTCACATTATTTAGCTACAATGTCTTCTCTCAAGTGTATTTTTCTAAGGGAAATAACTTTAGAAAAATCTGGACAAATGCATTCACAGTGGTGAGATCTGCCCCTGGCCTGCTGCCTTCCTGCCTTCTGATGCACTAGCTGCTAGCTCGACAATCTCCTGTCTCATCTTAGGGCACCAGCTCAAAACAGTATGAAGATATGCAGACAGCCTTTGGTCAGGTGAACTGAGATCCACCCCAGGGCACACAGACGGCCGCTCCCTTGGCAGCCTTCCTAAGCCAGCATCTGCAACACTTACACTGGTCAAGAGCAAAACAAACCTTTAAATAACCAATCACAAATCTTCCCTTATAGCTTCAGACTTTAGTGACTTCCCTGGGACAAACAATACACATTTCTTCTCTCTATCTCTCTGTCTTTTTTTCTTTCTTCTTCTCTCTCTCTCTCTCTCTTTTTTTTTTTTGGTCTGTCACAACTGCCATCAACATGTCAAAGGCAAGTCTTCAAATACCCGAGGATACGTATACATTTTACAAGTGACATTGAGTTCCTGTTGAGTACACCTGCTAAGCTCCCAACCAATTTCAAGCTGTGCACTGTATCAAAGTCTTACACCAGACTTTAAAAGAAAACAAATTCAGAAAATAAACCAGCACAGAACATATTTTTTTTCTGTTGTGGTGGGGCCACGAGGCAGGAGTCTGGTTTTTAAGGTATACAATAGCAGACATCTGATTTAAAAAAAAAAAAGAAAGAAAGAAAAGAGAAAAAGAAAGATTGTCGTGGGAGGGATTGTGTGTTCTAGTGCTCTGCTCCTCCCCCCACCCCTCCCACCCCTTGGATCTCCTGAAAAGTGAGAATACAATGAAACTGGTTTGTATTTATAGATATTTTACAAGGTTAAATAAGAAACACAATAATAAAAAAAATTGAACACTAAAATGAACAGGGTTTTTTGTTTTTGTTTTTTTTTTTCCTCTTTAATTTTCTTTCCAAACGTGACCAGTGTTGCTGAGTGACACTCAAGTAACTGCTGGTTTTTCCTGCGCAGCTGGCTACTTGGGGCTGTTCAGGTGGAGTTGGAAGCTGATGCAGAAGCGGCATTATTGGTCTGTCCACGGTCTCCAGCATTAGTATCTGCAAATCCAAAGTCCCAAGAGAGCATGAGCAATGTTATGACACGCAAAGAGCACAAGTACATCGCTTCACCCGCACACAGTGCTGTGGCCTTCCAACGTGCTACGTGCTATGCTGGCTCAAGCAGACAGCACAACTTCCTTTCTGTTTGGAGCTAAGTGACGGTGCTTGTGTGGGAAGACTGTCAAAGCATCTGCTATAGCTGGAACCGGCAGTACTCAGGTTGGAGTCTAGTTTCCCAAAACTAAAAGAAGTTGCATAGCTGGGGAACTAGCTAAAGACTGTAAGTCATGTTTCAACTGGCATCTGCTGAAGTTGTGAACAAGTGAAGACTGCAGACCCCAAGAACACACGGGAAACTTACTTGAGGGTATGCTATCAACTTCACAACCACTCTATGAAGACTGTATCCCAAACTCTTCGTTTTCCTGTTCCCCAAATAATCTGCCTTATATACATTTTACCCACCGAGGGACAGTCAACATGTGAGCGCTTTTGTTCAGTTCATTAATTTCTACCTCAAAATACTCAGCTCCTTTCAGTTCCACTTTCCTATAAATAAGGTGACCTCAGAGTCATCACTGGTGTATGTATGGCACATGAACCAGAACACACTCTCCAGAGCCAAGCAGAGAGCCTTTCCCAGCAATCAGCGAACAGCTAGGGCCAAGGCTTCATTAGACATGCCCTGCTAAAAGAGAGTTTTATTCTTCAGTTACCTGGATTTGGTGTGCTAATAACACAACAAGAATTCCTGTCCAAATGACAGATCTTCATGGTGATCATGTAGGCACAGGCTGTATTAAAAACGTTTCACAAGCAGCCTGGAAAACCACTTACTCCAGAATTGTAGCATTCCTCACAAAAAACCATCCTTTTGGCAGCTTTTCCTGGCTCTGATACAACTGTCAGCAAATGCACAATCATCACCAAACAACACACATGCACCCATTTTCAGCAGAAGATGGCAGGAGGCACTGCTTTGCCATCTTTAAGCCCAGGCCTTGAAAGGTACCCACCACATACAAACTCTTATTGTGCCAGCCCTGGCCATCGTGGCCACTAGCTGTGCCAGCTAATTCCAGCCAAGGTGAATGTACTAAATACCCCAACCATATAAGCAACTTGCACATTTATGGTAACTTACTCTTTGGCAAAGTCCTATATAGCTATTAGTTTTCAGATGCCCTTTCACAAGCTCTAGTTCATTAGTGTATGACCTAATCTAAACCAGTCTCCCTTTTCTTGAGTAAAATCAAAGTCTGTTTACATGACCATCACAAAATGCATAAAACTTTTTACATGATCATGTAACTGGAAATGAGTTTACTGTCTGAATAATACAATTTATAAACTCATTTCCAGTTACATGATCAGAAAACAATCTGCTCTGGGAAGAGAAGGAAGGCACAAGACCATCTTCCAAAATGACATCAGTGACTGACTCATGCCTCTTGACATCTGTGCTCCTAATGTTTGGCATTCCCACGCCAAACAAGACTGACCTGCATAACCAACCAGATACTGCAAACATAATGGTATGTGATTTCTAAGGTTAGGATATACACATAGGGTTTCCACCTTACTCTCTCTACTGGATCACTTGGTATAAGGAAAGCCAGCAGATATGATGGAAAACACTCCAACAATAGCACCATGATGAGGTCCACAAAAAGGGTGGTTAGACCTCCTATCAATACGTGTTGTTAACCATACAAAATGATCCAGCCTGGAAGTAGATCTTCTAACTGCAAGAAGCCATCAGAAAACTGCAGCACTAGACAACACTCTCCTTATCAGGAATACTTTTTTCTCATATAATATATCCTGATTATGGTTATCCCCCCACCTTTACTAACCCCAGTTGCTTCCCATGTCCCCTACCATCCAAATTCACTCACTTGCTTTCTCATTAGAAAACAAACAGGCTTCTAAGGGATAATAAAATAACAAAAATAAAGTAAGATAATACAAAAATTAACACATCAGAACAGGACAAAACACACAAGAAGGAGAAGGGAGAAGAGTTCAAGAAAAGGCATGAAAACCAGATATAGAAAAAGATACCCACTCATTCGTACACTCAGGAACCCCATCTATATACACAGATTAAACTACACCATTCAGATCCTTGGCTTCTGTGTTCCTAACCCACAGAAGCAATTCCAGATAATGTTTACCCTCTTATAAGCCCTATTGCTAAAATTTGGGATGGCAACTCAGGGCAGTAAGCACTGAATACATCAATATATCTAAGAACTTAAAATGTACTAGGAGGCCTAGGAAATCACCTCTATGATTCACAAGTGTTTCCAACAAGCTGCATAGGACTGTCTTAGCTAGGTAAGATAAAAATGACACCAAATAAACCACTGCTTCTTCCTCAATTGTTTCCTGAGAAAGGTATATAGTTCCAGGAATTGTGCCAAGTTCCACTAAAAAAGTTATTGTAAGAACGAACTACTTTTATAATTGCTTCTTTTCATGTGTATTCACATGTGATGTGGGGGTGGGTGTGTGCATGAGTACATATGACTCTGGAGATTTGAGGTTGATGCTGGGAATCTTCTTGATTGCTCTTTCACCTTGTTCTCTAAGGCAGGGTTTTTCAATCAAACCCAGAGCTCACCATTTTCTAGCCAGGTTGCTCTGGGGACCTATTTCCACCTTCCAGGGATTACAGGCTGGCAGCTACACTCACGAAGCGTTCGCATGGGTTCAGGGATCCAATCTCTGGCACTCTTGCTTGCGTGGACAGTAACTACATAACTACTGAGCTATCTCCCCAGCCTCAAATCATTTTGTATTTGTTAGGTAGTATTTTTTGAGACAGTACTTCATTCTCAGCCCAAGAGGTACAGGCTGGTCTTGAACTCTGAGTGATCCTCCTGCCTCAGCTCCCCAAACGCTTTATTACAAGTTTGTACAACGATATCTAAATTTTTGTACATAGAAGTCCGTACCTGGTCTGGTAAACAGACATTTTCTTAGGATAGTAGGATAGGAGTGAGTGTGTGAGAACACATGCTGCTCGTGGTCCCAGATTCTCAGAAATGTGGAAGTTACTAGATTCTGGAGTCATGAACAACTGCATCAATTCTGAAGAAACTACTTCATCCTAGCTTTTCAGGCAACAAATCAGAAGTCCTCGTCTTGACTTCTCCTCTTTTTTTACTCCTTAGTATTAGCAATTCCTATCCATTTGGAGACCAGATGTGATTACCAAGTGTGAAAACTGGGAGATAGTGGAGGATCACACTTTACACTCTTGTAAAGGGTCTTGAGGGCAGAACATGTGAAATAGGTTGGGAGAAGACAGAGAATAAACAAAGGAGCTGAGGTTCTAATGATTTTGCCACCATGAAGTCAGTATTCCCAAAGTGTGGGTCTATAGGAGAACGACTCTAATCCATAGAAATGCTTATGCTATGGTCCAGTGGTAATGACAGAAATATTTTATTTGTCCTGATCTATGTGGCTAAGGTGACTATTAGATACATATGGCTACTCAGGTTGCAATTAAATATGAAAACAATTTAGTGTCCTATTGCCCTAAACAGTTTTCAAGTTACTAAAATTTTAATGTTTCTACAACTGGCATATTAGTAAGAAAATATTTTGGACAATCAAATTAACCTTGGGTAAATGCGTGTATTCTTGAGAACTCAAATGCATTTCATTCCCTTACTTCCATTATAATGCTCTACCAATTCCAGTCTAAAGCCAGTGTGTTTGTACTTAACTGGTTTAATGGTCAGAAATCTCATGGCATTTCAGGTCCTATAAAACAAAATTTTGGCACCAAGAAATATATTATTTAGACTACACAGGTAATCTGGTCAAGCAGAATGATGTCATGTTATAATCTGTAGGGACAAACAAAACTAACCTTCACTGGAATCAGAGTGTACCCTAAATTCTTATTATAAAGAAAAGGGAAAAGAATCAATGAAAAGGGATTCTCTGATGGGTTCACTATTTTAAAGGACACATATGTTCAAAGAAATGAAAAGGACCACATAACTCTAAGAGACAGGCCAGAATTGGTTTAGATCAGGAAACAGCAAGCGCTTTCAAGGCAAGAGAGACACTTTAAATGTCTTCTAAGTCAGAATCCACAGTACAAGAAACAGTTCTAAAATGGATCCTAGAATCATTAGAAGACACTACAAACTTCACTGACTTCAACTCCAAACTAAACAAATCAGAACAAGTTTAATTTCCATCTCTGATTGGGCTACTTTTTTTTTTTTTAATGAAAAAGGGCTAAGAATTTTCTTGATAACAATTTTCAATTTGGTGATGTTCTGAGAATCATGTATAAATGACTATTATATAAAGTTAGAGCTAAGCAAACAAGATTAGTCATCAATCACTCAGGTGATTAATCTCCAGTAACACTTGATTAGTTTCTCATCTTATAACAATCTCCAAAAGACCCTGCCTTGTCCCTTTGATGTATTTTGTTTAGAAACAAAAAATGAAATGTGCAAGTAATATACAAATTATAGGAAACTAAATGCTTGACTCTTACAACATACCCACCACACAATCTAATATCTTTATCAGAATTGAGAGCTATTCTCAAGAGTTTGGCTGGTAGAGCATAATCTTATGTGGATAATCCACATAGAAATCACTTTTAGGGTGGAGGGGGGTGTCAACTTTATAATGGGTGATGCAAAAATGGTATGTGCTCGCTTTGGTAGTAGTGGCTTTCAGTTACCGGAACAATCATGAGATTCATCATCTCTGTTCAGTAAACAATGAAGCAGTGAACTGAAATCAGTGCTTTAAAGTCGAAATCATCTGTGTTCATTAGATTAATATCCTCAATGGAGAAAGAAAAGCTGCTCCACCACCCCTCATATTCAGTTCATGTGAAAGTCAGCCAAGTGATCCCTAAAGTAGTTTATATATGTTATTAATGGTCCTGATAAAAGGTTCCCAAACACAGTGACTGAGACGGTCTCTTGAAGGTGTTGAGAAAATCTAACACATATGTATCCCTGGAAGGAATTCACACAGAGAGAGTTCTATATCATTTTCAAGAGACTCTTAGGTCATTCAGAGTCATGCTCAACTGCAATGTTCCAAGATACTGAAGTATTCAAAGATAAAAATGACACCAAACCAATAAAACTAAAATATAAACACAAAACTAAAATGTTTGGGGGGAGTATTTTCAACACTGACACTCTCTAACTTAACAAAACATTTCATACACACACACACACCTTCTTCACAGTGTGGCATCATCACCAAAATGATTTTAAAGATTTACAGGTGCCCTCACAATAGTCCCTCAAAAGTCCAATTTTCATAGTAGTAGCTTTTAAAAATACCCATATGAAAACAGATTCCATAATATATTCAAAACTTTTCTGATGTTTGCCATACAAAACATTGGTTGTTCTGTTTATCATACATATCAAAATCTGTTACTATAGCCATTGTTGTTATATATGTGATTCCTGTCTCTGTATGTGGTGGTCTTTTCTTCTTCTACCAGATATATCAGGGAGCTAAAGCCCTAAACTGGGATTAGTGATATTTAAGTTTGAACTCTGATGGCTATATATTGTAACATTTTCCAATGCATTTCTAATCACTGTGCCTACAGTGGCTATCTGAACACTGAACACAACAGAAGGAAAAAGTAATCAAAAACACACTACTGTCATGTAATGTAACAGATGCACTATCTCAAGCCATTTTCAAGAAGGGTGAGAAATTGTGACCACAAAATTTATTAGTTCAAGTTTCTGAAGAGGCCACACAGCAAGAACTAACTATATATCCCCAGAATAGCACCAATAGGATTTTAGGATTCTTTCTAGATATGTAAAGATTAATTTCTTTGTTCTTCCAGAAACAGCGTCAGAAAGAATTCCTAGAGATCTAGGCATCTGGACACCACTTAATAATTATGGCCATTAACCCAGAGCAGATTTCATGACAGCCAGTATAATCATGGTTATTGACATCTTTTGTCGATTTGTTATGCGTTTCTGCTTCTGATCCACTTATTATAGGACTGAGTTTTGCTCACAGGCCAAGAATAAAGGCAGAAAACCCCTTTACTGTAACCAGCTGCAAACACAGCCACTTCTAAGGCCGTTCCCAGGAGCGCTTGTAGCCCGACAGCTTTGCTATGGACCACACACCTGCCCTGTACAGAGCAGAAGGAGAGATAATGCTTCACAGGTCAGATGGTAATTTCAGGATTATGTCTGAGTTCTGAATTTATTTTGTACCTAAAAGTGACTTAGCCTCAAAATTGCTAATTAATTTTGATACTGAGTTTCTATTATAGAGAGTTAAGTCAAGAAGGCTAACTACTGTAGTAACTTAGAGGTTCATATTCTAATTCATTAAACTCCAGACACGCTAGGGTTTATTTAGGTGGTTATCATTTATGTTGCATGATTAGAAATTCTGACTTAGAAAATTTAATATTTAAAACCATTTTAGGTTCAGATATCCAAGCCAAGAGCTTTGCAACTTAAATGTTTATCTCTTTGAAGCATGGAGCAGACACAGAAACAGTGTCTGAGGAGAACTTTGGATATGCCTAATAGCATTTTTTCATTTTGTATATCTGGGGATGGGCTCCCACTTATTCAAGATGAGATAGACTTTGCCTTCCATGTATGTGGATGTTGTATTGCTTTGTTCTGAGATAAGGTCTTGCTTTTAAGGGCTGGTGGCCTGGTACTCACTTATGGCCTTGAACTCATGTCAATCTTCCTGCTTCAACCTGCCAACTGCTAGCTAGAACTACCAGCATGTGCCACCACGTTCAGCACTACTGAACTTGTACTTACTTTGCAGAAACAATAATACAATTAGTAATGACATTTTCCTTTCATGGAGGGCCTACGCACATGATTGTGTATGTCTCTTACTTCTCACAGCTACATAATCAAAGTCCTACCCTTGCTGTTTTATAGATATGGAGACTGAAGCAAGAAAAACAGAGGACGTGTTTTTAAGGTTATTAAAGGATGTCATTCCCACTGCCAAACACACACATATAACTAGAGACAGATATTAAGGTCATATAGTTAATCAGTTGGTAGACATTAGTATTGAGGCATACTTACTTGACCTTCATTCAGTCATGTAGAAAATTCTACTATTTGGGGTGTCATACACATAAATGCTTGAAGAAAGTGTCCATATGAAAGAAACACACTGAAAAATGATGAAATCTTCATTGACTGTCATTTCCACCAGTACCAAGTCTGAGGACCGAAAGGAGAAACTGCAGGGCCAGAAACACTCCTCCTAAGTCAATGGGCTTCTTGTCCAACCAACAAAGGTAAATCTTAACCACTGGTAATGTTGATTTCACCATTAGGGAACTCAAGAGCAGTACATGCAATCCTCTCTGGTGACCACTTCTGCACTTCTTTACTGATTTTAATTACTGTTCCTCCATTAACTTCCTCATGTCCTGATTTACTCCAACTTGAGCATAAACTCTCAGGGTCAAAGTCCAATAACAGTTATAAAAATCATGTATTATAGTGCAATATATTTTTCAGATCATTATAACTTGTACCAAAGCAGTATGACCAGGTTATAACAGGCTCCTTTCCAAGAATATAATATTTTCCAGAACCTGAGTTATAAACATCCTTAACTGTTTCAGTATTTCACATTAACAAAATTATTTTAGAAGCGGAAGAGATGGCTCAGTGGTTAAGGGCATTTATTCTTGCAGAGGACCCGGGTTCTATCCCCAGCACTCACATATCAACTCATAACCATTCATAATTCCAGTTGCAGAGGATCCAATGCCTTCTTCTGGCCTTTGGGTACCAAACATACACATGGTGCACAGGCATACATGCAAGTAAAAGACTCACAGAGAAGAAATCTTTAAAAGATTTTCTACTCTCTACTAGTTTTCGTTTGTTGGTATTTGTGTGTTCACATCATGGTGCTTGTGTCAGAGGTCAGTCGCAGGAGGCAGCTCTTTCCTTCTACCACATGGATTCCTAGGATTGTACTGAGGTCATCAGGCTTGGTACTTTTACCTGCTGAACTATCTTTCTAGGCCACAGTTTTGAAGCAGGGCTGTCCAAGCTTTGACATGAAGCTGTCATTTATAAAGGTGCTAGGTCATATCCTAGCTATCCTGGGATGCCTGCAGCCTTCAGAGTACAGATTAGACATGCCTGGTCTACAGCAGCTCTAACCAACCTCCTGGACACTAGCTCAGTGAGTAAAGACGTCAGTACAGCACTTGCATCTACTTCATATTGTCAGTGACCACTCTGATGTATGTGGTCGGTGATGCAGCAAATTTATTAATAGTTCATTTAACCACTCTTCTTTATTCTAAACAAACAGGCAACAACATTAAAAAAAAAAGCTACCAAGTTTCTTGTTTATCTATTTGAGAAAGGCCTGAAACTTGCAATGTAAATCATCAGGCTGGCCTCAAATCTGAGAAATCTGCCTGTCTCTGCCTCAGGAGTGCTGAGATTACAGAGAGCACTACCATGACATAAAGCGATTTCTAATTACTCTAGAAGAGCACTGTTACTCATTTTGCAGACTTAGTGATCAACATATTCATAAAATTAAGGAAGTTCAAAGGACTCAGAGAGAGTTTCACCAGCTAAGGAATCAGAAAACAGACTTCCTGCAAGGTAGGACAGAGTAGAATGGAATGGATTAAACCTGACAGAAGTCTTTCAGAAAAGAGAAGATGGTTTGATCTTTCCCCTGAGTCCCGGAATTTAACCACTGAGAAAAGACTTTTATCACAGAACAAGAAAAAGAGAAACATCTGATCTGAAGCATAAATGCCCTTAGGCCAAAAGTGTTTCAGTTCCGTGACAAAAGGTAGCTTCTGCCACTTGCTGCATTTCTGAGAAGGAAGTATTAACTGTACCACTTATTAATGTGTCCCAAGTTCCAAGGCTAACTGGTTCAGGAACTAGAAACACATTCTATGGTCTGAGATCTTTGAGGTTTTTCATTTGTTTTGTTTTTCTGGGGGGGGGGGTGAGAAGGAAGGCAGTCTAATCACATTCTGATATAAAATTAAATGTATCTTCATTGTACTTTTAGTCTTTTGAACGATTAAGATTACATCAACTTATATCCACACTTCTTAGGGTATGGATGTAATTTATATGCAGAAGTTAGAACTAAAATGAAGCACTCTCTTTACAAACATCCCATTTATACAGCCTATTTTCTCCTTTAAATATACTAAGAAATCAGGATGTACCTTATGTGTAAAATGCTTAAGTTGTGTGTTTACAAAATTTGTGGGTTGCTTTTTTGTATGTTTTAGGTGGAAAGTAGTATTTATTTCTCATTTGACTATGATTTGCTTTTGATAGTTAAGGGGGAATTAAATGTTCATACCACGGGAAATGGAGACACTCGTGTCCATTTTAAAAACCAGCATGTTAGAAAAACAAAACAGAAAGGTCCACTGTACTCACCTGAGGCTGCTGTGGAGTTCGCAGGGGTGGAAGCAGCTGCTTGAATCCGAGCATGGGGAGGAATAAGGATGGTGGCCAGAGGTGGGTTACTTGACAGTTCTAGAGGAAAGGAAACAAAGGTTGGACTGTAATCTCCATCCTCTACAAGGAACTCCTGTATAGTAAAATAAGACACTATAGCAAAACAGTTTTACTGCACCAGTTAGGTAGTCATCAAGTTAAAGAGGAAGAGTAGTCATGTGACACAAAAACTGATGCTTAAGAACTAAATTTTTCTTTGGAAAGGTAGCAGGGAAAAGCTGGAGAGTAAGCACATTTGTAACTCCTGTCAATCACCCCCAACACTCTCTGCAGCACATGACTATGCATGCGTGAGAGCAGAACTTAAGAGCAACAGCAAACACAAATGGTCAAGGGAACAAAAAGGCAGTCAAAGGAGGCAAGCCGAAGTACTGAAAACATAAGCATTCTCACCCCATTTTACATTCCTTAAGAGGCTAGTGCTGAAAAGTTTGAAAGCTTTTTACCCTAAAAGTGAGATTTTTTTCTGCCAATGTTATAGAGACTACCTTCCTTTGAAAAATAAATTTCTATTATGTCTCAGATTATGTTTACAATGAGCTGAAGCCAATGATATCAACACTCTACATTGTAAGCAGTGGTGGTGAGCTTGCATATATATCTGGTGTTAGTTTCAAATGTGAATGTCCTCCCAGTTTATTAGGAAGAATCCTGCCGTGCTGGTATTCTAGCGTGTCATCTGTGAACTCCCTTCTCATTCTCCCAGGTGTTACGATCTGGAATGCTAAGTATGTGCTCATGCTACCTCTGAACTACAGCATGCACCTTGAAATTTAAATGTATGGCATTAACTGAAAAGATGAGGAAAATAAAGGAAACCCCAAACCCAGTAAGTAGTCCGAGGTTTCTTTTTAGTCCCTGGCAATCCTCTTTCGTCGAGTTGTTAAAAGAGAAGTGTTTTGATGCAACAGTTTAAAAGGGTTTGAAAGGCAAAACCTTTTTGCCAACAATGACTTATTTTTGGATTGGCAACTAAATATTAGCTTTGTACTAAATTAATATTTTAAGTAAGACTATATTATAACTAAGAAAAGGATTTGTGAAAAGTTAATGGGAGAAAAAAAGCTTCAAAGGAAGAAAGAAGACTCACTGTTTGGTCAGTGGGAATGTTTTCTAGCTCAGCAAACAGAAATCTTTTCTTTGGGAAGCTGTGCCCTAACTAGGGTGTGTAAGAGGTGTGTGCAGCTCCCACTGAGGAACAGGAAGATGCCACACTGCTCCCTTGAAGCCAGGCAGTTTAACAATATTCTAAGTGAGCAAGCAATGGAATCTGGTATGGCTGATTAACACTGCATTAGGATTAAAATGCAGTATATGGTAGTTATTTTTCATTAACCTAAATGAAATTTAAACTTGCTATCTCAAGTAAAATCTCCTAAAATAGAAAACAAAACAAAATCCACTCATCCATGTACCCATCTATCTAGCAATATTTATTGAACATGAAACAGTATGCTAGGTCTCAGGGTAAAGATATAAGAGGTAACTGTCTTTGTTGGGTCAACAGAAAATAGAAATGGGTCAGCTGGGTGGTGGTAGTGCACATCTTTAATCCCAGCGCTTGGGAGGCAGCTACACACAGAAATCTTGTCTCAGAAACAAAACAAAAAGAAAAGAAAATGGAAATGGTCAAATGAACAGAGAGGCAGTTCAGAAAGGGACTCAAATCTATTAGGATGACAGCACTTTCTTTTTCTTTTTTTTTTTTTTTTTGGTTTTGAGACAGGGTTTCTCTGTAATGTTTTGGAGGCTGTCCTGGAACTCGCTCTGTAGACCAGGCTGGCCTCGAACTCACAGAGATCCGCCTGCCTCTAACTCCCGAGTGCTGGGATTAAAAGCATGCGCCATCAATGCCCAGTTTGACAGTACTTTCAAAATAAAGTTCCCCACATGTTCAACATCCACACGAAACCAAAAGAGGAGAGGATGACTAAGGAATACCGTATGACGTGTGCTGACAAAGCTACTGCGAAGGCAAATCTTAAATCACATTGGGTTGGGGGTGTCTTTGGTTGCTTTCCTCACAGCCCACGCTGTTCATTTCCCCTTTATTTGCTTTCTCTTTTCAGATCACCTGTATTAGTGTATATGTACACTCAGCTTACCCAGACTTAGAACGTATTGCTACCAGCAGAACCTTAGTATTTATTCCCAATTCCTTCACCTAACAGTAGCTATCTAGATGCTCTCTACTACATAATCAAGTAGAGGCTTGTGCCTCATTCTTCAGCCTCTTGAATTACACAGTTCTATTCTGATCATCCATTAAATACTTTGCATTTAAAGCTCACTTACACAACTGTATATACATATATGTATACATGTGTATATACACACACAAGACAGACACACATACACACACTCTCTCTAACTCACAAGTGAATCTTAATATATTTAGACTGATAAGAAATGAGTCTCAGGATATACTTACAGATCATATGTGAATGGATACAAAGGCCCATGTATAATTTTCTCTGATAGTCATACAACCACAAAACACTGCTACTGATGATTCATCTAGCCATATTATATCCAAATACACATGTGTAAAGGTTATTTTTAACTGAAAACTTGATATGATCCAGACTTCCTTGGGAAGAGACTCTTGAAGAGGGACAGTTTAGCTGAGGTACAACTGTGGACACACCTGTAAGCAATTTTAATTATGTACTAATTTGAGAAGACCCAGTCTAAAAGTATGTGGCATCATTTCCTGGGTTTGGGTACCAGGAAACTTCGCTAAGCAGTTGCATTCACTCTCTCTGCTTCAGACTGTGGATATGACTAGCTGCTTCGAGCTCCTGATGCCATGACCTCCCTGCAATGAGGATCTACCTGAAACTGTAAGTCAAAAGAACCCTTTCTCCCCTGACACTGCTTTTGCCAGGTATTTTATTACAGCAAATGGAAAGGAAACTAGGGCATGTATTCTTCAAACCCTGAAAAATATATCCATACTCAGAACACGTGGAATCGTGTTTACAGTTGATATATCAGCAAGTAAAACAGTTCTCAATGTCAAAATAAAATACTCATTAAAAATGCCAATATTAGATATGTGTATGGCTAAAGGCTGAACTATATTAGTCTTCTTGAAATTCAGAGTACGTTTTTAAAAGAGATGTACCAAAGCGAATGCCACCTTGGGCTTACAAATGTGCACTGCTAGCCTTGACTTTTTGATATGGGTTCTGGAGAGTAAACTCAGTCTTTGTTTGTAATAGTCAAGCACTTTACCAGCGGAGCTATATTTCCAGCCCAAATTTGGAAAGTGCTAAGGGCAGTTGATTTTATTAGCTGATGGTATATAAAAGGGACCCACTCATGAAAGGCCTTCAGTATTTTCAAGGCCATATTTCAAGTACAAAGCAATTTATTTCATGTTTATGGTTGCAACTTTACAAGAGAACAGATATAAGGAGAGGAGGAAGCCCAGAGTGAATGTGTTGTTGACATAAGCTGGCCATGTCAAGGATTCCAGAGCCTCAGATCTATGGATGAATGGCAAAAACTTCTGACCCACCTCAGGCTGAGGCTCACAGGCAAAGTGCTCCCTTCTGGTCTATGTGTGGATGTTGATAGCACGTGCAGACAATGTTCATCAGTGTTTTCTCCCCTGGTTCTCCTACAGACACTGCTTTACCAGGCTGTGTGTCATAAACCCTGCCTCCTTATTATATCTGTATGTAATAACCCTACCTCCTTTTTCAGCTGTATGCTACGTCTCTGTTCACCTCTATATAATAAACATGCTGAGCTTCCTGGGTGCTGAGTCAAGAGAGCCCAGACCACCTAATCCCAGATTCACTCCATCCATTCATTCCCTCAACATCCTAGTCAGGTCTAAGTCCCTAAGTATGAAGGACATAGCAAATAAGTAACAGCATTTACTGAATTTTGACTCATTACAGTGTGCTACAGTTAAGACACCATTTCATATCCACTAGGAAAACAAAAAACACACCGTGGAGGAATTGGAACTCCTCTACCCTACAGGTATGGATATAAGATATTCAGCTGTGGAGACAGTATGCTAGTTTCTCTAAACATCCAGTAGTGTCCCTCATCATGTGACTGAGTGGTACCCCAAGTAGTCAAGTAGGTATTTACGTATAAACTGTCACAGCAGTTATCCAAGAGTCCATCATAGACGATTGCTTAAGTAAAACATAGTATACATATATATACAATCGAATACTGTTCATCCACAAGAAGGAATGAAGGATTAATACATACAATGAAAATAGGCTAAGTGAAAGAAATTAGATACTAAGCATCGCATATTATGAGGTTTCATTTATGTGAACTATCTCAAATGGGTAAATCCATGAAGACAAAAAAGCAAACTGACTGCTGCTAGAGGCTGAGAGATGAAAGAGGAATTCATGTTTATTGGGGACATGATTTTCTTGAGGAACAAAGAAATTGTTCTGGAAGTTAGCAAAGGTGTTAGATGCATAGCATGAGTAATATACAAATGACACTACGTTGTCTGCTTTTTAAATTATTTGTATTTACTTATGTATTTTATGTATTAGTGTTCTGTATGTATGTATGTCTGAAAGCCAGAAGAGGGTATCAGATCCCATTATAGATGGCTGTGAGCCACCATGTGGTTGCTGGGAATTGAACTCAGGGCCTCTGGAATAGCAGCCAATACTCCCAAATGCTGAGTAGTCATCTCTTCAGCACCCGTTTGCTTTAAAAAAAAAAAAAATCCTTCGGCTGGGCAGTGGTGGTACACGTCTTTAATCCCAGCACTTGAGAGGCAGAGGCAGATGAATCACTGTGAGTGCGAGACCAGCCTGGTCTACAAAAGAGCTAGTTCCAGGACAGCCTCCAGAGAAAGGGAGGGAGGGAGGGAGGGAGGGAGGGAGGGAGGGAGGGAGGGAGGGAGGAGAGGAAGAAATCCTTCATGAATTTCCATTCAAAACAAAACAAAAATCAAAAAAAAATATCATGCCCTCAGGGATTTGTTGAATTGGTAACTTAAAATTTTATTTCATTAGTAGTAGTAGATGATTCTCACAGGTGAGTTAAGAATCAAATGGATTACTTCAAAATAATGTAAACTTAAGTATGGATTCTGAAATCTAATCAAATAAGTTTACATGATATTTCACTTTACACACATGTATAGTTATACACAGTAAAGAATATATGCTAACTATGTCTGGAAATAATGAGAATTATCCTCTTAAATCAATATTTATACTTATGCATTTGTCACATATCTGACCAGGGGTTTTGCTAATTAGTTTATTTTGAATTACAAAAATATTTATTTTTAGAAAAGTTGGTGTGAACTAAGTATCAGTGCTGGCTTGTCATAAACAGTTTTAAAAGAAGAAACACAGCTCCCAATATAAAGACACTGTTACAACTGGCTGGAGGTCACAGGCCCTTAGAGATTACTTTAAAAGAGTACTCCCAGTGGCCAGGCGGTGGTAGCACACACCTTTAATCCTAGCACTTGGAAGGCAGAGGCAGGCAAATTTCTGTGAGTTCAGGGCTAGCCTGGTCTACAAAGCAAGTTCCAGGACTGGTAGGAATGTTACACTGTCTCAAAACAAGTACTCCAGTGAATAGTTATACTGTACAGATAGTAAACATATGCTTACAGCACAAAATAAAATACAAATTGAAAATGGGCATCATAGACTTTTCAACTGTCCCAATAAATTTTAAAATATTCAGGTGACATAACCCAAAACGTTTGATGGCAAAAACAAAAAGTTTATTTTATGCATATGAGTATTTTGCCTACATGTGTATCTGTGTAAAGCATGTATGTCTGGTGCCTGCAGAAGTCAGAAGAGTGTGAAGGATTTCTTGGAACTGTGGGTGCTGGGAATCTGGGTCCGATGGAAGAGCAAAAGTGCTCTTAATTGCTCAGCCATCTTTCCAGCCCTGGAATTTTTCTTTTTTATTTATCAAATCCGTAAAACAATTATTTGAAAACTGTACTTTCTGCATCACTGTTTTTTAATTAATAAAAAAGTTGTTGTTTTGCTTTTTTTTTGTTTTTTTTTGCCATGAAATGTTTTTGGTATTAGAAATTTTGAGGAGAACTACACTATATTATGCTACAACATGATTATTATGAAGACTAATCATTTAAGGGTTGTGCCTTTACTTTTCTCTGTATTTCTTCTGGTTCTAACATTTTCTTTACTATGCTTTGCTACTGGTGAAAACCAAAAGAATAAGGAATGAAAAACATTTTTTCTTTGTCAAGGGAACTAAGAAAGAGGTCAGTTAACACCTTTTGTCAAACTGCAGTTGCCCTATCAATGACACCTGAAGCTACACAACCTTTTCCTGATGCTTCCAGCCACAGGGACTGATACACAGAAAAACAACTTGTTCCCGAGTTAACTGGACTCTCACTGATTCATCGGCAATTTTATTCAGCGTATATGTACAGTTGCTCTAATCTTCTGCTATCATTTTCAACTTTATAATCTGAAGAAAGAGCATATTTTTATTCTTATTATTGACCATCCTTTGTATGATATATTAAGGAGATGGGGAGCCTTTTGTGACCAAGAAAGAGACATTTCTTTTATTTAAAAGCTGGACATTTCTGCTCTGTATTTAGATTATTCTAAACTGAATGTGAAGGGATGTGTGAATTAAATGTGAAATGTGTAAGATTTGAGTAAATAGTAATGGCTTATGTGGCTTAACTTCAAACTGTCAATATTATGTGACTACCATCTGTGCTGAGGGAGAGTCTGTAGGAGTGAATGCCACAAAGCTACCCGCCCAACAGGGCGGGGTCAAGGTAGAGATAAAAGGAAGTGAAAGGAAAAGGGGCTTCCCTTGTTTCTCCTGGCAGCCATCCACGCTTCTGCCTCCTGGTCGGTGCGACTCTCTCTCTCTCCCTGATAAATAAATATATTGTTTCCCCCTATATAGTATCGAATATCGTTCTAAGAGTCTTTAGTCACATTTGGAACAGTATTCAGATGTCCTGACACTGTTAACTCTGTTGAGAGCTCATCAGGAACTCTGAAGTGTTTGGGATCCTGAACGCCTCATGTTTAGCAGAGTAGTGATGGGCTGGAAGGTAGAGTTCACAGAAACATCTGAATTATAGAGCCTGGAAAAAGAAAGTTGCAGCAGTGCTGGCAGTAATTTTTAAATGCACCCTCTACATTCAGTAGAAGTCTCTTTCTCTGTTACAGAAGGCTCCCACCTCCCTCATGTATTTCCTAGCCTGCCTAATCCTTACCCCTTAGCCAGTCAATATACTCTTTTTTTTTTTTTTTTTTTTTTTTTTTTTTTTGGTTTTACGAGACAAGAGTTTCTCTGTATTGTTTTGGAGTCTGTCGGTCCGGTCCAGCCTCGAACTCACAGAGATCCGCCTGCCTCTACCTCCCGAGTGCTGAGATTAAAGGCGTGTGCCACCAACGCCCGGCTACTCTTGTTTTATTAATAGTGAATTACAAACTTTTTGTATTTGGTCTGAGGGGGAGGATACCATTAGAGTAGGTGAATAAAGGAAAAAAGGCAGAATGCCTAGGAGTCTTGATGAGGATGGAGGAAGTGAATCCTGAAATGGTGTAGAGATGATGGCCGTCTTTAGACTTCTCAGAAACCACCAATGAATGAGTGAATTAAGCTTGCTTTTAGTGTTTACTCTGCAGCAATGAGGCCAAACCCAGAAGGGATGGGATTTCTGCTAATTCCTCTTGCATAAATTCCAAGCTTTATAAGATCATCGAGTTTACAGAAATGCAGGTGTGGCTTGAATAAGAACAGGCCCCATAGGCTCCCTGTTTAGTCATCAGGGAGTGGTACTACTTGAAAAGGATAAGAAGGTGTGGCCTTGCTGGAGTATGTTACTTTGAGGTTTCAGAAGCCCAAGCCAGGTCCAGTGTCTCTCTCTTTCTACTTCTCGAAGATCACGATGTAAAGCAATCAGATTATTTTCCAGCACCACGTCTGCCTGTGTGCCACGTCTCCCCAGTGTGGTAACAATGAACTAAACCTCTGAGACTGCAATTAAGTGCTTTGTTTTATAAGAGTTCCGTGGTGTCTCTTCACAGCAACAGAACTACAACAGGTAAAATTCATTCCTAGGGTTTAAACACCTGCTGTAAATGCTTGGGAAAGATGAAATACTAATAGTCTACCTTTTAGATTCAAATCTAAGGGTTATATTATTGTTTAGTCTTATTGGTAATAATCCACTGAAATTTCTATGTATTTCTCATATGACTAAATTTACTATAATTTGGTAAAAAATGGTCAAGTGACGACTGTTTGCAAACTTTCATCTGTCACTATTGTTAAAACACCCAATGATTGGTGTGACAAATTACTTCCACAAGTACTTAACATGAACAGTTATCTACAGATTATCACTAACAAAGTGATATTTCACATCCATTTATCCAGTGTTTTACTTTTCTACTGCCATGATAACATATCATGACCACAACAACTTATAGAAAAAAAAAGGGGGGGGGGGGCGGGAGACTTGTGGTTCCAGAAGTTTAATTAGAGTCCACGAGAGTAGAGGGGAAGTGGCAGGCAGTTGAAGCAGTAGCTCGCATCTCAAGCCACAAATAGGAAGAAGCAGGTAGCACACTGGGAATGAAACCTCAAAGGTCACCCGTAGTGATATACTTCTCCAACACCTACCTCCTAATCTTCTCCCAGCAATATTCAAATGCTGGAGATGTACGGAGGACATGTCATTCAAATGACCACACTCAGAAACAAATAAAAATGAAATGTCTGGAATTACCTTGAGTGGTAAAGTTGAAGAGGGCAGGTGTGTCTCGCCCATTTGGTAGTTTGACATTTGGGTCCCGTAATTCATCAAAAAACGAATGTGCACAAGCTTCCAGTGGTGTTAATCGGGCGGTTGGCGTATACTCCAGTAGACGGCTACACAGAGCGATTGCCTCTGGTGGCGTTCGGGGCCGGAAGACCTGAGAGGACAAAGAAGTGGACAGAACAATTAAGTTCTACTATAAGAACCTAAACAAAAAATCCTTTGAGTTCTGAGTTAGTTCCCATTATAAAAAAACATGGTTACAAAATCCAAAATTAAAAGAGTTAACTGCATGTGACATATCGCAGTGGGTGAACTACTTGCTTATACATATATATATATATGTATAAGTTTATATATATATATATATATATAAACACTATGCAAGAAAAGCTCAGAGAACAACCTACCTCTTATGCACAAAGTAACATAATTAATTAAGCCTGCAACCACTATAGACATAAAAGCTGAGATCTGGAGGCAAGCACAACGAAAAGCATAGTTTTTAACTTACAGTGCTTTCTGTTGTGGCCTCCCCTACTCTTTTTGGCAGAACATTTGTTTGCTGACAATGGATAGTACTCTTCAGATCTTGTTTTTTAATCTATTAAATACTTCAGTCAATGTTTTTTAAAGTTTTTTTTTAAGAGAAGAAAACCTTTGTTCTAACTGTAAAAAAATGCTAACGCTTTGGTATTATCTTCTTGATACATAGAGCCATCCATTATTCAAAGACTATGGAATAAATACCTAGACTTTCTGAAATGCCAGGCATTGGTCTTTTCATAGTTGGATAGTTAATTCTCATTTGAATCTCTTTGAATGAACAGTCTAGAGCTTTAAATCGGGTAAGAGCCATTAATTTACAGAAAGGTCATTTGAAGTCTATATTGAAGCAATACTAATTAAAATAATTTGCTTAAAAGGACAGATACTGTGTCTTAATATGAATCAGTATATACAATGAACACAGACTTTATTTTAAATTACAGCTAGTTAAAGGTTAAAATAGAAGAGGAAAACATAAGCATGAACAGATGGGACACAGAACCTTTGAAACGAAAGAAAAATAAAACCTATTCCTTGACAGAAAGAATATGTAAGCAAAGCAAGGGTAGGGTTGGTGAAGACAGACAAAAAGAGCATGCAGGGCTCTGGAAAGCTAAGGCTTCCTAATGAGAGTGGCTCATATTACTTGGGCTGAAGACAGGAGAGCTTGTTATCACTACAGGGCTTGTTAATACTCAAGAGATTCATGAGCATTTCCTAAAAAACTAAAGGTAACTGGAGGGGTTGTTTTCTTTCCCCTTTAAAAAAATATAGTGTATTACAGAAACTTTCTGTAATAGTTTACTATAGAAATTACATATTATTTTCAACAGAAATTGAGAAAGTGCCTTGCATAGGATCTTAAGAATTTATTTTGAGGCTTCGTCAATTTAGAATTTTAATTGGCTATTTTAGAAAGTCCTTTGCAAGGTCAAAATTGCCTAGCTTGAATGCTTCTGAGTACTGTAATTTGCCTTAGACAAGGGAATTTTAAAACGGCTACACAACTTAAAATGTTTCATTTCCCCACCATTCTTGGTCACCACCTCCCTTATTTCCAAGTGCCAATCAAATCCAGAATGCAAAAAAAGAAAAACAGTATAAATTGTCACAAAGTTACCAAAATTAGCCAGGTGGTTCTTTGTAAGGTCAGGGCTAGCCTGGTCTACATACTCAGTTCTAGGACAGCCTGAGCTACATAGCGAGAGCCTGATTCCAGACAAGAAAAATACTAAAATTATTGGCAGTTTGTAGCTGCTTGACAATATATGGATTTACTTGCTAGCTAATGTAAAATGGCTTGGTACCAATTATGATATTAGGTTAAGACAGTACTAAAATGTAAAAACAACTCTTGCTAAAATTCAAGAACAGAAGAGTAAGAAGGCTATTTTAAATCTGAAAGCTCATGCTTCCTAAGAGGCAAAAGACAGGTAAATGTCTGTGAGTGAGACCAGCCAGGATTATACAGTGAATTTGAGGCCAACAGGGTACATTGTGAGGCTTTGTCTCAAAAGACAAACAAGCAGCTGAGCAGTGGTGGAGCATGCCAGCATTCAGGAGGTAGGGGCAGGCAGATCTCTGTGAGTTCGAGGCCAGTTCGAGGGGGGAGGAGAGGGAGAGAGAGGGAAAGAGAGAGAGAGAGAGAGAGAGAGAGAGAGGGAGGGAGGGAGGGAGGGAGGGAGGGAGGGAGGGAGAGGGAGAGGGAGAGGGAGAGAGAGAGAGAGAGAGAGAGAGAGAGAGAGAGAGAGAGAGAGAGAGAGAGAGAGAGAGAGAGAGAGAGAGAGAGAGAGCGCGCCAGGATCACACAGAAGAAAAAACAAAACAAAAATAAAACCAAAACCACAAATAAACAAAAACAAACCAAACAAACTAAACCATGCTACATATTAATAATGGTTTTTCTGTTGAAAGTCTTATAAAGTTTTGGTCCTATTCTGGACTATTTAAAAAACCCATTTCCTGTATTTGTTTTGGTATTTTGCTGGCTACAAGTAACCATTTACCATTTGGGTCGTAATATACACTTATTTTATGAAGAAATCCTAAGGAGGAATCAGAGAGTTAAAAAAATAATCTATGCCAAAAGCTTTTATTAGAATAGATTTAACCTGCCTTTTAAAAAAGTATTCATTGGCTTTAAATTTTTAGGAGATTCCTCATGAGAAAACCTTTAGTTCAGTATCCTGTGGATAAAGGTTAAGTGGGAAATTATGCAAATCAAAACCTAGTACACCTCCTAGAATTCACAATAAGGGGTGTGACAGCATGCAACTTCCAAAACGAACAGTCCTAACTGGACACTAGCTCTTTAAAAGAAAAAGGAACCAACAATTACTGAAACACAGTTTCTAATCAAGTTTCTACTTCTACCTCATTCCTTACACACTGAAATAACATAGAGAGCCTTTGGCTGCATCTAAGAATAATTAGAATTCCCTTAATTCATAAACTGCAATCTAATGTCAATGGATACTGACAAGCTAAATACACACTATGAAAACCTATAAACAGTACAAAAATAGAAACCATTTCCCCACATTGTTTTCATTAGCATATTTCAAGAACCAATAGTTGCTCAGCCATTCCAAGAAACATTTTTCCAAGTGTTATAAAACTGACCTAAAGTTAAAAAAAAAAAAAGTACATACCCGTACTCCTGGGGTGAAATGTCCTGTTCCTGACGAGTCCTAAAGGTGATAATGCAGTGAAATAATCCAAACAGGGGAAGTCAATGCAAAAGAGAATAGTCCAGCAAGGAAAAATATATCCAATGTTATAAGAAATCCATGGTGTAGGGGACATAGAAAATGTTTATACAGTTATAAACTTTATGCATTCGTCTCCACAGTAGCAAGTCTACAAGTGTATGCAAAAAAGTTTGTGATTTGTGCAATGGTGAGGCACAGTAAAGAAACATTTTCTGGTTTAGTTTATTATGTTCTGATGCCAGTGTGTTTATTAAAAAAATACAAAACCAAAATAAGTGAAAATCAAAATGAAATCTAGAAGTAAAGTTCCCAAAGTAAAGTGGTCTTCTACGACCTGGATTCATCATCCATAGACATGGCTGGGAGGGGGCATATTGGCCTGCTTTTAAAAATGGATGTTCCCAATATGCTAGAATTTCATAATTATTGTTTCAGTTACACAGTATAAACATTTTTGCTCAATTATTGGACATGAGAAAAGTAATATTATTGCTATAAATTTCAAGCCAGATACTTTTAATTTGTGTGAGCTAAGAAAGAATCGGCCACCGCGGATTATTCTCTTTTTTGGATTGACTTCCCTGCTAGAAGGTATTTATTTACTGACAGTCTCATTATATTAGGACTCTTCAGGAAGCTGACATATCACCTCAGGAGTGCGGGTATAAACTTACTTTTTCTACTGTGGGCTCTGCCCCCTCATACCCTTGCACCCATGACATAGGAAAAAGAATAAATATAGAACATTCTTTCCTTTTTGCAAAAACTCACTGAAAAAAAAATCCTTTATCTTTGAATAGTACCAATTCAACACAGCTTCATCTGCAAATATGCCCAATTCACCCACCAAAAGCTAAACAAAAATTTATACAATAAACAAAACAACTAAGGGACAGTCACAGTTACAGGTGACATGCAGAATAATGCACACCAACACCTAGGCAAAACGGAGCCAAGTTTGCAAGGGAGGAGCAGGGTCTATTGTGTCTAGGTATTGAGAACACAAAATTGGCAGAGCTCACCAGTAGCTGTGAACTCCCTTGACAAAGCTAAGAGAATGTTACATTCTTTTAGGATAGTTTCCAGTGGGGGAATTAAATATTTTGCAAAAAAAATAAATAATCCGCGGATTACTTTTAGTCTGCAGACTAAATTTAGTGTATGGGATTAAAATTTGGCACATCAGAATAAAAACCTTAAAACACAATCATGTGGACAAAAATAGGAAATAAAAAAAAAACCCTAAGAGCATAAAGTAATATTCAATTGGGCAAACTAACAATTAGTATGCAGACTAAATATGGCCAGCCAAGTATGCAGCAAGGCCACAGACACCCCTTTAAAAGCTAAAGGAAAAAATTAAAAAACAAAACAAAATGAAACAAAGCCAAAAAGAAGAAAAAAAAGAAAAATGAAAGAAAAAGAAAAAAAATCAAATGAACCTAAACACTGACATGAACTTTTGAGTGCTTCAAATACTACCTCACCTATGCAGCAACATGTTTTCTTAAAGTCAAACAAATAGACAGATCACAATTTCTAGTCTATAGGGGGAGAAAAAAAACTATCATAAAATTTCATTTCTCCCCAAGTCTCTGTGTTATTCAACAAATGCAAACAAATCCTTAAATGAAGAGAATTATTCAAAATAAATTTGCATTTGGGTAATTCAGACAACAGAGACAATGTTCTAAGACTTTGGCTGTAAAAGTCCAGCCTGGAGTTAAGTGCTATGGCTGAGATCCTTCAGAATGGCTCTTCATGAACAATCACATACATGCCAAGACCTGCAGTCAATGCTGCTTCTTAGTGCCAGCTCCCACCAATGCTGCTGTATTATGCACCCAATCAGAACAATATAAAATGCCCACTTCTTATGATTGGAGATAGTGGAAAATAATTATAAGAACACAGAACGAATTCTGTGACTGTTCCAAACAGCTATCCCCTACTAGCTTCCGATGTAAGCTCATGAAACTGACACAATTTTCTGGGCATAGGCAAAATATAATCCCCAGTTCTAAAAACTGGTAAACCATGAATACTAAAGAGCAACTTCTGTCTCAAGTGATCTAAAGCTATTTGCAATTAATAAACCTAGATAGAAGATTAAAGTGTGACAGTATCATGGGTCTGTAGAATAGATAATGTTAATTAACAACAAAAGAAACCAACTAAGTGGTTTTCTAAGTATATAAGTTAATAATTAAGTAACACATCATTTAAAAATATCCTTTATTGGTATTTTGCAAGCTCTCATACACTCATCCAGCGACAGACTTAAATGTAATGTAATTCAAGCCACTATAAACTATTAGTCCCCCTGCCCCCAAGCTACTGAGAACCAACTTTCAGGGAGTCCACAAGGCAAGTTTATGTCTAAAGTCACTGTGGTGGGTCACAAACTGAACATAGCTCAAGCTTAATTAAGACACACTTTCTGACTTTGGAGGGCCAGAAAAGCAGAAAAGAATGCCAAGAACAAGAAACACAAAGAACCCTTTTCTTAGTCATGACAAAACTAGCCATAGTTTTGACCTGTAAGGAAACCTTTACATTGACCTATACATGTAACTCCTCTTCTAACATCCTTCAAACATTACTGCAGACCTACACATAAGCAGCGTTACCAAATGACCACTTACCCAGTTAAACTTGTCATGTTTTTGCAAAACAGCTATTGGAATCAAGCTGGCCTTCCTAAGAGTACATGTGTATTTCCTTTTCATCCACATCTCCCATCTTAAGATGTCTGTCCAGCATATAACAATGGCTAGCCTTTTTTCCCAAACCTCAGCAATCATGTCTTTCTGTCTGTCTGACTCTCCTTTAAAAAATGTGTGTGTGTGTGTGTGTGCGCGCGCGCACTCACGTTAGGGGACAACTCACCTGACTTAGTTCTTTCCTTCCATCCTGTAAGTCCCAGGGATCAAATCAGGCTGTCAGGTTTGGTGGCAGGAACCTTCATCCCATGGGTCCCACTTAAGCAAATCTTAATTCTACTTCAACAGCCCTTGTCCTTTGTCATCTCTAGGGACACTTCTTTCAATGCCTTCACTAAAAGTCTGTCTTGTGACACCCACTGGACATAAACAGCTTTGGACTTTTACATCACACCATTTATATTACTTAATACTTGCTGTAATTATGCTTTCAAAGGCAAGGACTGCATATTTTCATCCTTTATAGGACCCAGAATAACACTGGTGATAAAGAATACATAGTACCTAAAGAAAGATGATAAATTTAAAACTATATTTCTGCCTTCTCCAATCTATCCCCAACTCCATCCTTTGTCCCCCTCAAACAAATAAACACGGGCATGCACACATGTACATGCACACACACACACACACACACTTCTCTTATATATGGACTAATTACTCTAGGAGCTGGAGTGTGTACATGTGTGTACATGAGATGGCAAATGCGCTCATGAGGTACTTAACTAGTTAGTACAACATTCAGGGTGGAGAGCATTGGAAATGTAAAATCTGATTTACCCCAAGCAATAGAGTAGATCAGAATCAACAGAAATCCCCAGTATGGCTTGATGTTTTCTGGGATACATGTGAATGTAAAATTATGCCAAAAAGAATACACAGAATGGGTTTCCAAGAAAAGTTTGACAGCAGTTTTTGTTGATTGCTTTGTGGGCCTCTCTGAAGGTATTTTCAGTAATGTGCTAAGTAAGAGTTGAATTGAATAAATCTGTCAGGGTCTGGAAAAACATATTAGAGGGTCATATTAAAAATGTAGTTATCAAGAGTCTTAAAGAAACACAACGAGCCGGGCGTTGGTGGCGCACGCCTTTAATCCCAGCACTCGGGAGGCAGAGGCAGGCGGATCTCTGTGAGTTCGAGGCCAGCCTGGTCTACAGAGCGAGTTCCAGGACAGCCTCCAAAGCCACAGAGAAACCCTGTCTCAAAAAAAAAAAAAAAAAAAGAAACACAATGTTTTTTATTTGTTTGTTTAGTTTTAAGTAAAGAGCATGACTTACTCAGTGTAAACAATTCCTCTGATATCTAAAAGGGTCTCAAACTCAACTTTCTGCCTATTCTGTTAGCTAGATGGAAGCAACAGTACTGGTCTATACTGAATCATGTCCTAACAAATCAAGCACTGGATGACTGCTTAGGGTGGGTACTGTGTCCTGGGTACTTGTCTCACCAATGGCCCAGTAACCTACATACACACGTAACTACTGAGTACTAAACTACCGGGCCAAAAAGTTAGCAACAAACAGTTCTTACATATTTTTTCTTTACATTTATTATTTTATGTATTTACTTATTTGTTTTGTTTGCATGCCCACAGAGACCAAAGCTGGTTCTCTCCTTCTACTCTGTGAGTTCATGGACCAAATTCAGCCCATCCGGCTTGATTGGCAAGTGCCTTTCTTTGCCTGCTAAGCCATCTTGCTGGCTCTCATTCTGAAGTAATTTATATCCCTGTTATCATTATGAAAGAAAAAATAGAAATCGCTATAATGCATACAATTTGACTCAATGGGTACCAAAGTAGTTACATGATGATGAACATTCAGACTACATGGAAAACAAGCAAATTTCATGAGAGAAAGGAGACCTGAGATGATTAGTATTTGCTTTGCAGAGAAGAAAAGGAAGAACACTATATGTGGGACATGGAAAGGGAAAGACATTAGCAAGAAGACGGAGAAAGAAATGTAGCATCATCTCCTGGATCAATTAAGAAAGTTTGATTATATCAGAAGATATTGCATGGCTGTAACACATACAGCTAACTTATTAAGTAGTCTAATATAAGGATAAAAAATAGTACCCTTGGGATTCTGTTCTATTTCTTTTCACAAACCAATAAAATTATAAATGACTTCTACCACTTCATAAAATTATGCAGATACCTGCATTACTTATCTGACCTCAGGATTATTTGCTACGAGGACAAAAAAGAATATCTGTCAGAGTAATTTAAACAAAAGGTATCAGCTACACAATACTGGAAACAGGAGATACCCATGACAACTGAAGAACGAGAAAGACCTGATAGGCATCCCCAATTCACCTTAGTTACACAATGAACTTTATATTTATTGCCTAATGGTATGTATTAAGAGATGGAAAAAGTAGAAGAATATGGGAAAGAGATACCTCTACTAGATCCCTTGGGGAAATCTCAGGACTACTTGCTGAGAGGGCAGCTAGGAAAAGATTGAGAACAGTATGGCCTGGATGGTTGGTATCCAAAGTGGGGTTTCTTTGAGCATAATGGATAAGCAGTTAATATCTATGCTGGAAATTATAACAAATCAGAACATTTCACAGCCACCTTTCCTAAAGGCTATGAGAACTCAGAGAATTAAGAAAGCTAATTTGGAGTGTAATGAGAAAGATGGACTGGACTTTCTGATAATGAAATCAGTAAGGAGGAAGCAGGTTGTTTTAGAGGTCTATATTATCATAATGGCCTAAACCAAGACCAGGATAATGAAGCAAAAGTAAGAGACAAGACAGCAGTATATCAGAAATAGAATGTTCTCCATTTACTCACCACTAAAATAAGATAATCCTTTATAATCACTATAGCTGTATTTTGAAAAGAACCTGAAGACAAGGTAGATAATCACTAACAGAAATGAAAAGAAGCAACAGTATTTAAACCCCACTTCATACCCAATGACCCACTGTTTAGCCACACCTCCATGTACCAAAGGCAGGATTTATTTTCTTCTCCTTTTGCAACCAATTCTCTATTTAATTCTCAATTTATTATTGTATCACTTCCTTTAGCTTTCAGTCTGGTATTTCTTCTTTGAAATATATAGCATACACCAGAACATAAGCCTTTATTTCCTTTCCCACCTAAACCATTAAAGGCTTTATCATTGGCTGTTCTAGACATTATATATATATATATTTGGTTTTTACGAGACAGGGTTTCTCTGTATTGTTTTGGAGGCTGTCAGTCCAGCCTGGCCTCGAACTCACAGAGATCCACCTGCCTCTGCCTCCCGAGTGCTGGGATTAAAGGCGTGCGCCAACACTGCCCGGCATAATTTTTAAGATATATTTAATTGTGTGTGTATGTGGGTTTCCCCTCCCCCATGTGTACCACATGTGTGTCTGGTGCCTGCAGAGGTCAGAGGGTCTCAGATTTCTTGAGAGTTCTGGGAACTGAACCCCCAGTACTCTGAAAGAGCAACAAATGTCTTAAGGGCCAAACCAACGTTCTAGTCCCACTCTAGTGTTTTTGTAATGGCTAAGGGCAACTTGAATGGATTCTGAAACCCTCAAAAAACTATTTTGGTTTTAGAAAGAGACTGTAAAATAGGATTCCATGATGGATTTCAGTGTATTTTTAAGTCAGTATGAAGGAATATGTGGTAACTCCTGAGAATCACACTGCAGCTAAGAAGCCAGGGCTCCCTCTCTTGTGCTTTTAGGACAAAGGACATGGATTCTAATGGAAGACAGCAGAAAACAATGAATTCTTGTCTGTCTGTCTTTCTAGTCCCAAAGCACAAGTGTTTTTAGAAAACATTATGTACATTTTTTAAATGATACTACTGGCTATGCCATACAGGTAGCATTTCTTAGCTGCTGTAAATTATCATAATAGGAGGACAAAGGAAGATTCGACTACACTACCTCTAGGAATGTTAAATTCCATGTTTTATTTTTGAAAAACCTTTAAAAAGAAAAATCCAATACAAGCATATTCTGATCATTTACCCAACTGGGATTTCTGTGTACTATACAAGTTGGTATGAAATGTAATTTATTTATTATGGAATATAGATGCACAAAGGGAAAAGCTAAATTGTCAAATATAAATTAAGGATTCACGGCAATTTTAGTATAAAGGGTAAGAGAACAGGACAATTATTCTATTCTATTACATGGCATAGATATCTAAGTAAAAGGGCTTCACATTTCATTTAAGTTTAGGATGTATTTGGGGTATTAGAGAAACGTCAGGAATCCAAGAAGGCAGAGTAAACTTTAATTCACTACTGCTCTTTCTGCTGGCCACATTTAACAATTAACTGTTCTTCATATTTTATTCTGGCTAGTATTTCCATTTCAGACAGAAAACCCACACATCCACACTGGTAGCAGGACTGATTGTTAAAGGGGACTCTGTAACTTCAATTGTAGCACTGTTTGTCAACTCCACTATGTATGTTAACATGGAGGACAGTGGTGAATACTCAGACGTAAGAAGACTGAGGTCTTAGAAGAACCTCCCCATTCTTCCTTCATAAATATAATGATTACTTAAAATATGGAAGTACAGACAGGCAGAACATAAACCCTCCCAGAATTATATTCTTTCTATACCAATCTATCTTTTAGAATACACCCATCTTCTTAAATTAGTTGGATTTGCAGCATGGTATAACTCCCTTACAACAGTGGATTCAATCTGTTACTCAGCCTCTAATCACAGCAGGTCACCTAGGATCCTCTGGGTTTAGAGCCATGGAAAAGATCCTAAGTATTATTTCACTTAGTTCCAAAAATAAGCCTTAAACACAAAGATCAAAGACTAGTGTTCATCATAAAGTTTAAAATGAGGTGACGTGGCCTCTTGGAAAAATGAAGGCCCCAATCTGTATTTCTGGCACTACAATACTACTGATATCTCGATTTATAGTAGGAAAGAAGTAGTGAGTGTTAAGAATCTGTCTGAAGAGATGTTATGAGGATGTTAAAGGAAGTACCTGGAATCACCATGTCATTAAGAGAACAACAGAACAGGAAGAGGAAGAGAGGTGGGCATACTGATTACAGGGAGAAGAAACTATTTCACCTACAGCCTTAAATTACTTTATCTCTTCTTCTTAAATGGTTTACAATAAGCTAAACAAACTTATCAATGTATAAAACAAGTTATGAGGACATTTTAAAATATTGTGTATTTAACATTTCTAACCTACTGTATCTGTCTGCCCACCTGCCTACCCACCTATCTGAATGATGTGGCACTAAGACTATGATTTAAAGGCCCAGCATGAGACACACAAGAGCTAGTGTTAGCTTACTACCAGCACTGTCACAGCCATGCAGTCTGGATCATGGGATTCCTGTTTTTGGCTAGAGTTTCTGAACCTATAAAATCAGACAGATACAACAGAACTCCATTTATAAATTCTAACACATTCTATCTTTTCTCTGAACACTTAATTTCATCCAACGCTAGGTGGAAAAACTCCTAATTAGACTTTCCCAATGGCTAGTAACAGCCTATAAACATGATAAATTACTTTCCAAGTATATATCCAACAAGATTATACCTGCTTTAAAAACACCGCTCCTGCAGTACCAATAGTAACAAGGAAACAAGTAAACAGGTAAATATGCAACATCTGTAAGATCTACATTTTGATGGTTTAAAAGAATAAAGAAAAATTTAAAGATCTTTTATTTGTGACAATATTGAATTATGAATCTCTATTTTAAATCAAGAAATTAAGTTTAAAACCATAGGCTTTTAAAATCCTACCCCATTGTTTTAATGTTACAGATATTAATTCTTACTTGAAAATGAAAGAGGCCATCGATAGGAATAAAAGTATACTGTCAAAAGAACACTGAACTAGAGCCACTGAACTGCTGTGCATTTGAAATTGGCACAAGGTATGTAGTCTCAAAATAGTTTAGCCTAAGTACAATGAAAACCCCAAAATTTAGTTAACTATTAGTTGATGTACTTTCTCAAAAACTCATTTTGACTCACCTTTGTCCAAGGATGTGCCTTGATTTGAGGGAATTTGAATTCTGTATAATTTGGGTTCATTTCTCTAATTTGCTCCCTTGTTGGTGTTCCCAGGACCTAAATCAAGAAAAAGAAGTATTCATATTGGTACATCGTTTTTACCAAAATAAAGAATTCCAAGCAGAAATAAAATATAAAACTCAGTAGGTTTTTGTGAGAGCTTTTTAATTTTTATCTGCCTGTAAAACCATGCTCTATGAACACAGACTGATGTGTTATGATAAGAATGTTAAAAATCCACATTATAAAATATTACTAGAAAATATTTCATTACTAGTTAAGAAGACAACTCTAGTCCCAGGAGGTCCTAGAACACCACCTGGCCTCTGAGGGCACCAAGCACTCCCTTGTCATAGACAATAATACATGCAAAACATTCACGCATATAAAATAAATATTCTAGTAACACCAGCTTCCTTTCCCATTGTATTACAACACTGTTTTAGTAGCTGTAAGAAGGAAAAGCAATACTCAACCTGGCCAGTCTTAACAATGCCTAAAATCTGTTGGCAAATTTCAAACAGGTCCTTCCCCCAAAGTGAGACTCTACGCTTGATCCATCCATAGATAAAAAAAACAAATAAAAAAAAATCTAAAAAGTCAATGTAAAATCAAGCAGGTTCTATATAGAGAAACAATCAGTGTGTGATGGTCACATCTGACTAAGACTATCTTTTATTTGTGGAATAAAATGCATATTCAGTCTATTCTATAACAAATGCCAATCAGGAGAAGCTGTGTCAAGGACTTTAATCATTTCACTCAATATTTAAAAGGGAAGACAGGTTTCAGGGAGACACGACATAACACACTCACTTTCTCCTCTCTCCGTCATCTACATTACCTTACAGTCCAATATGAAATAAGTTTGTTTATTGAGTCAAGGTCTCAATAGATAGTCTTGGCTAGCCTGGAACTTAGAACTCTACCCAACTGCTCTGAGTACTGGGCTTAAAGTCATGTATCACTATGATGAACTAAAACAAGTTTACTTGGGGGGGGCAGTTTCACTGGAGGGTAATATAATATTTAATATTTAATTTGTGCTAGCCATCAATGAATAATCAGGGGTAGTTTTTTTTAAAGATTTATTTATTTATTACATTTACACCAGATTGAATTGTAGATGGTTGTGAGCCACCATGTGGTTGCTGGGAATTGAACTCAAGACCTCTGGAAGAGCAGCCAGTGCTCTTAACCTCTGAGCCATCTCTCCAGCAGGGGTAGTTTTTTTTTTTTATAAACATTCTGAACAAAGTAAGAAATCCTTTTAAAGACAGTCTATGTAAGCCCTTGCTGACCTGGATCTCATGGATATCTGCCTGCCCCTGCCTCCTGAGTGCCGGGATTAAAAACGTACAGCACCATGCCCAAGCCACACTCATTAGTTTTTGATTCTCTAGACACCATTAAAACTTTTATGACCTCACTGGCTTTTTAAATAGACTTTCCATTGAAAGAAACTCTTAAGAAAATAAGTCGAAGACTGAGATAAGATTATAAAAAAAAAACACATTCTTCAGCATATCTCGACTTGATGAAGAACTCTACCGATCAGAAAATACTGCAAAGACATCTGTACTCACATGCTTATTGCTTTACAATGAACAAGATGTGGGATCAATCTATGTGCACACTGATAACTGAGTCGATACAGGAAAATGTGTGATGCATACACAATGGAGTATTTACTTTGCCATAAAATAAACTCCTGTCATTAGCACCAACACGAATAGTACTAGATTATAATAAAGTAAGTTGGCCATAGAAAAACAATTATCATATGTTCTACTTATTTGGAAGCCATAAACTACTCAGTTTTTACATTTGTAGGAGTCTCCTTAAACACACTGCGTTAACAGTGGAGCTTTTCTACTCAACAGTAATGATAGAACTTCCTTAGCTATGGCTGTTTATCAGAATTTAAGTGGTTTCTCACCTTTACAACATGCACTTGTGACTTTTAAGAAGCTTTAATTACTAACTTGTAGACTGCCATTAATAATCTTATTATTTTAAAAATCAATTAAACAAATTCTTCACCACAAGTTACTTAAAACCATCCAACCTTGAATTTACTAAGGCTAATAGATAGGGAAAAAAGACATCCAAACATCACAAAATGTTCTAGATGTCACTTCTCTTGCTAATCACTGAACTAGAGTCATTTTTCTACTCTTTTAATTAGTTTTTAAATCTTAAAAACCAAAGTTCTTCCCAGGTAATTATATTTTCTTTTGTTGGTGATTTTGATAAAGTAGGGAAAGCAAACACAAGGTTTTGTTGTTGTTGTTGTTTTAAATGCTTATTTCTATGCTGGGTGTGCAGGTACACAACTTTAACTAAAGTGCTGGTAAAGCAGAGGCAAGTGGATCTCTGTGAGTTCAAGGCCAGCCTGGTCTACATAGCAAGGTCTAGCCCAGTTGGTCCTACATAGAGAGAAACTTGCTTTTCTAGACTAGATCATGAAGGATTACAGAAATGAACAAACTTTAGATAACTTCATGAATGATCTTCTGATCTACAGGTTTTTGATTTTTTTTTCCTTTCCTAGAAAGGGCCAGAGAAAGCAGTGAAGGTTTGTGAGGCATATTTCCTGTTTACCCTTCAGCTCTGATGCTGTAGCACAAAAGCAATCGTTGTATCCCTTTGGAATGTTGTTCATCTCATAAACAAAACGACTTCAGCTATATCTGGTCCCATCCACATTTCTTTTTTTTTTAACCCACTAGTTACAAATTGAGGCACATACAGAAAACATCAAAACAGAAACTGAATTGATGTCTTCAAAGACACAAAGACCAAAGTAAGCATCTATAGAAAGTTCCACAACAGGCGTTTCTTCTGTGGGCTCTTAAAAAAATAATTCTCTTATTTTTTTGAGATCATACCTGTACCATTTCCCCTTTCCTTTTCTTCCTTCCAAACTCTGCCATGTGCCACTCTATCTCTGCTCCCTTTCAAATTCGTGGCTTTTTTCTTCCATCATTGTCACATATGCACGCACGCACGCACACACACATACCTGAGTCTACATAATGCTACTTGTGTATATATTTTCAATGGTGACCATTTGGGTTGGATAACCAATTAAGTATACTCTTCCCTAGGAAAGACTTTCTCCAGCCCTCAGAATTCCGCAGGTGCCTGCAGATTTCATCTAGGGTTGAGGCATCCTAAGCTTTCCCCCAGGGCTGCCTGAAAATGACTTCAACAAGGACTACACCAGTAGACATGCCCAAGAGGTATTAGTTGCCTTTTTATGGTTCAACACCAGAGGGCACCAAACTTCAATAATGGAGCTGTACATGCAGCTGGTTTTGTTTAAAACTATTGTAAAGAAGCCATATTAAAAACATTACTCCTCTGCTTAAAATTCTACAGTGGCTTTCTAACTCCCTCGAATATAGTACGTTCCTATGGGTCCACAGCTCTAGATTCCTCTTTGCTGGTACATTCATATTTTATCAACCCCACTATTCACAACTACCGTGTGTAACTAAAACACACAGCAGACCTGATTCCAGTTAAATAGCTAAGTACTAGCCTTCTTTCAATAGAGAACGCAAAGTCTTTCCAGAAGGCACTGCCTCCAACAGGAATCCAGCCTCTGCACAACGTTCAGCACCCCCCCCCCCCCGGCTATCTTTGAATTTCTTCAGTGCATGAACCTCTACTTTCTGGACATAATACTAAGACAAAAATCCTTCACTGACTCAATACACATAGTTAAAGGTGTAAATACCTTGAGAGACTTTTTAAAAGGATATGTGGTGCTCTGGCTAGTTTTATGTCAACTTGACACAAGCTAGTGTGTTGTTTAGGAAAAGTAACTCTCAATTCAGAAAACATCTCCATAGGGCTAGCCTATAGAGAAGTCTGTAGTACATTGTCTGTGACTAATGATTGATAAGGAAGGGCCCAGCCCATTGTGGGTGGTATTACCCCTGGGCTGCTTGAACTGTGTACTGTAAGAAAGCAGGTTGACAAGCCATGAGAAGCAAGTCAGCAAGCAACATTCCTCCACAGCCTCTGCCCTCAGTCCCTGCCTCTACAGTCCTGTCTTGAATTTCTGCCCTGACGTCCTTCGGTGATGGAGTGTGACCCAAGAGCTGTAAGTTAAAATAAACTACTCTATCATCCATCTACTCAGTAATGAACACAGGTTGATTTCATTTCTTGGTTACTGCAAATGATGCTGCAATGAACATGGGAAAGTACACCTCCATACACTCAAATTGTGGGGATATACTGAAGAGAAAGGAGGCTTGATCATTTTGTAATTTAATTTTTAGTTTTCTAAGGATCCTCCAAAAGTATTTTCCATAATGTTTCCCACTGATTGCATAAATGTTCTATCTTTTCCACAAAAGTATAAGTGAAGAAAAGGGTCTCTAACTTTATTCTTTTGCATATACATATCCATTAGTATAAGAGGTATCACCTCAAATGGCTGTTTTCTCCCACTGAACTGTCTTGGAATTCATGTCTTCCCCACCCCCAAATAAAAAAAGTCACAATCAATTGGCCATAAATACAAAGATGTATTTCTTATTGGGATGCATTATGTAAAATTCCCAAAAATCAAAAAAGGCACATGGCCCTAATAAGACTAAAAGATAAAAAAAAAATACTTTTTGACTCTCAATTATATGCCATTCATCTGTTCTCTTAGTTACTATAACTGAACACTTAGTTTTGAGACTAGGACATGAGTGTTTTAGTGCTGGGTGGTGGCAGCACACACCTTTAATCCCAGCACTTGGGAGGCAGAAGCAATTGAATCTTAGTGACTTCAAGGCCAGCCTGGTCTACAAAGTGACTTTCAGGACAGCTAGGACTGTTACACATAGAAAAGCAAAACAATAACAAAAAAGTATTTTTGCTATCAGTCTTTGCTTCATAAATAAATTTATACTTGGTAACAAATCCTCCCTAAAAAAAGGTGACTATTCTGTGATTATATAAACCATTGACATGAAAGTGAAAAACCTTTTGTCTTCTATATATTCACAGAAACCAAACATTTAAAAAAAATTCTAGGTGAATCAAAGCTTAAATGGAGTATTCAAGAAAGGAGTGTTAAGTAGGAAAGAGGATATCTTGAAAGTCCTGTGTTAAACAAAACCCCAAATGTTTTAAGACACACAGAACTTTACATATGCCTAGTTCTGTCTCAAAAATACTCCAGTATTTTGTATACTTTAAAAAGACTTGCACAAGATTGTTTTGTGTCCTTATATGACTTCCACTACTTTTTTCTCATCTTTAAGAGCAGTACTGTTAGTAACATTAAGGGTTCAGTCTGAAATTAAAAAATGGCTATTAAGAAGGACCACAGTGATCTCAGCTGCAAAACCCAATTACACAGAGACCGAATGAAGATGGCCAACCACTGGCCTTTCCAATTACATTTAGATACAATGACATCGAGTCCTTTATTTTCCCTTATATTAAAAGGAAAATTATTTTTATTATGAAATAGATCTTAAAATAATTTAATCTCAGCAATTAACATCACGGGCTGCTCTTCCAGGGGATCCAGCTTTGATTCCTGAACCCATGTGGCCACTCACAATGATCTGCAACCTCAGTTTGAGGATACAACAGGTCTTCTAGCCTCTGAGATCACTATGTGTACATGCAACACACAAATGCACAAGCAGGCCAAAAAATCCATATGGTAAATATAAAGATAAATCCTTAAAAACTAAAGTTCACTTATTTATTTATGGCCTGCTCTCTACCACAGCAAGCTAAATGACTTGCAATCCCTTTCTCATTTTTTATTCCTATGTGCACACATACATGAAGGCACACCCAAGGTAGGTTCAGCAATCAAGCATCCTTGCTCACTATTCTACTATATCCACATAAGCAGGGTCTCATCTAAATCAGGGCTTTCAGATATGGCTGCTCTTCCTAACCAGCTTGCTCTGGGCTCTCTTGGTGGAAAATGCCAGCCCAAGTTAACATTCACAAACTCTGGTCTCCTTGTGCTTGTATGGTGCTTTTCTGTTTGGATCATTTCCTAAGCTCCCTTTCCCACTGCTTAAATGTGTTGTATTGTTTGTTTTGGGGGATATGTGTATATGGCATTTTTGGTTCAAAAGTATAACTCAACCATCTCACCTTGATTATTTCCACCAACTGATCCACACCACTGTCCCCAGGAAATATTGGTTGTCCTAGTAACAACTCGGCCAACACACAGCCTGCAGACCATACATCTGAAGAAAAAACAAAAGAAAGGTTTGGAATACCATAATTTGAGGTGAAAATGTATATTCTATTTTTATCACGAAGTACTGGTTACATCCAAATACAACAGTAATCTAGTCAGAATCAATGATGGTTTCATTCCAAATACTGTTAATGAAAAAATTTATTCATGCTTGAACTTTATTTTATTATCAAATGAGTATTTTATAAGTATTCATCTTTTACGAAAAAATTGGAGAGACAGAGACAGAGAGATACAACAGATACCGACTCACTATGTAGCCCTAGGTTGGTGATCTGGCCGCCTCTTCCTGTGTGTCAGGATTAAAGGCATGTATACATAAATCTTATACAGCCTTAGGAAGCAAGATAAGGGCTGGAGATATGGCTCATCGATTAAGAATACTTGCTGTTCTTGCAGAGAACCTACTTAGATTGCCAACATCCACATGATGGCTCACACCTTTCCATAACTCCGGTTCTAAGAGATTTGACATCCTCTAATGACCTCAGCAGGCACCAAGTATGCAAGTGGTATGCATACGTAAATGCAGGCATATATGTGGTATACTTGCAGACAAAATACTTATACATAAAAATTTAAAAAGCAAGCATCTTAGATATGAAATGGGCCAAATCCATGTTTGCTAGGGTTCCAAAAGCCCTGGTTTACACAAATGTTCTCTAATGTGTCAGATGATTTGGTTATAACTATTTTAAATGAGCCTAGTATAATTCAATCCAATACCTTACGCATGCATGCACGCATGCACGCACGCACGTACTCATGCACACACACACCCATAGGTAACCAATATCAAACATTTGAATAAGACACCAAACAATTAGATATCCAGTAACATTCCCAAGGACAAGAACAAATTTGCTCTTGGGGACCGTTGAGAGCTAATAAATATACTAACAAAGTCACCTTCCATTCCTATAGTACTTCAGTAACATTTTATTGTACTCCTCACAGCAACCATGAAAAGTAGACAGAATTAGAAATGATCTTCATTTCACAGATCAGATAGAGGGCACCTGATGTCAGTCTCAGCACCCCACCCCTACACAATTAATGTATAAAATAAAATAATTTTGTCCCTTTTCAAAACTAGCCTAAGCATGCTGGTTTTGTCTTACTATTCAGACCCAGCGGGTCATGGTCTTTATGCTGACATAGCAACTATACTAGAACAAGTTAGACAAAGTCAACAAAGATTTCTTGAATCCTTCTGTCATTAGACATCTCCCTCTGGTGAAATTTTTAAACCACCAGTGGGTTTGGCTGAACAACTAAGGAATAAGTTGACTGAAAATTAAGTAATGTATAATGGTAGGAATTGAAAAATATTATTGCTCTATCAATTATAGTATTAACATATTAAAAGTAACAATATCAATTAACCAAATTTCTAACTAGGTATCAGGCTCAGAAGTAAATATTTCAGGAGAACTAGAAAACTAATAATGACCAATGAGATAGTTCAGTAGACAAAAATTCTTGCAGTGCAAGCCTGGTGACCTGAGTTTGATACATAGAATCTATATAAGGGTGGAAGGAGGGAACGAACCCTACAAAGTTGCCCTCTGACTTCCACATGCATGCTACACATAGCATATGTCTTTCTGCCATCCATCCCTGCCTCTTTAATATTTTTAAACACTCACCAAAAGAGTTATAGTATTTATACTTTACTTCAAACTTTAACATCAAAATAAATGTATTAACCAACTACATTACAAAACAATACTTTTATAATTCTAAAAGCATAATAGAAAAATATACATAAATTCTAAAAGGTTAAAAAAATCTAGTTGTATACATTTCTGCAAAAATATATTGCAGCCATGCCCTTTTCTTGTCAGAGAAACTGTAAGAATCAGGGTGCGATTAACCGCTATAAGCATTGTATTCAGAGTCAGTACTTACCTATACTAGAGGTATAATCAGTGGCTCCAAAGATCAACTCTGGTGCCCTATAGTACCGAGAACAGATATATGAAACATTGGGTTCTCCTCGGACCAGCTGCTTTGCGCTAATGGAAAAATAAAAATAAAAAGCAATCTTTAAATCCATACCTTAAAGAAACAATGCTCACACACCATATCTGTCTCGACCTCACAAGACTGCAATAATGCAACACACTTGTAACTGTCTCCAATGAAAGAAATATTAAAAAAATCATCAAATTGATATAAAAATAGTGATTTTTATAAAGTAAGCATTTGTTAAGTGTTACCTAAGGAACAAAGAGATTAAAAATTCAAAAGGATACATATGCTCAATTTCTTCTGGTTCCCTGCTTCCTAAATTCTACTTCTGAAATATAAAAATGGTTACTAGGCATGGTGGTGCAACACCTTTAATCCCACCACTCAGGAGGCAGAGATAGTTGAATGAATCCCCTTGAGATGGAGGGCAGCCTGGTCTGCAGTCAAACTTATAGGTCAGTCAGGGCTACACAGTAAGACCCTGTCTCAAAAATAATAAATACCTGCATGCTTATTAAAAAAGTGTAATAACTGCCTACTGTTTTAAATTGGACTTCAAACTCAGGGTGGCCAGCTGAAGGCTTACACAGTCAATCTATGCATACTTCGATATTTTAGTCAGTTTGCTGTCTAACCACCTGTTACTAAACAAACTGCAAAAAGGCATTCAACATGAGGGGGAAAAGGACTCAGAACCTATCCATTAAAGTGAATTACAGTTAGTATCTCTCGAGATGCCTCTCAGATAACCCATTCCAAATCAGCAAGCCACGCTGGGAGATGCACTGACAGCAGCTTCACAGACACAGGAGATAAATACAGGCAACAAAAATCAGAACAGAAAACATTTGAGGTATAGGTACAGGAAGGCAAAGACACAGCCAGGGGGAAAATGGCCTTTCAACCTTAAAGTCTAGGCTTCCTTCCCTTCAATCTACTTTTAATCAATGATGATGCTAAACTTAACTTACTTTCCCTTCATTAGCAGTTTCATAATTTAACCTTCTTGGACCCAAATAAAACAACCATTTGATACACTACAAACAGTAATGTGTTCAGGCTATCAGAAAATCAAGACATTAGCTTTCAGTGTAATTGATAATGGACTTTTCTATTTTCAGAAGTGCATTTTGGGAGCTTGGGATATAGTTCTTTAATTAAGCAGCTGCCTAGGATGTGAAGTTTGCAGCTCCCAAACAAACAAACAGCAGGAAACCTTGGCCATCCGTTATGTCTCAACACTTCACTGGGAGGCAAAGGCAGTGAGTTCCCAGGACGGCCAGTACTACAGAGAGACCCTGTCTCAAAACCCAAACAAACACGGTTCATTTTTTAATTGACAGAGTCTAAATATGGTCATAAATTTCACAATAAGTCAAATTCTATAACGAAATGCTTTTACAGGCTGTATATTCTTCCCCTACAATAACAATGAAGCAAGCAACAGGGTTTGACTCTCTGCCCTATGGCCTCACCTAATCTGGTCTACAGACATGCCATTCTAACCTTCCAGCTACTGCCAGACCTTGTTTCAAGCTACTAAAAAATTGTTAAGAAGAGAATATAAGGCTGTTTGGTTGAGTTCTGCCACCCTAGTACCTAAGAGCACTTAGTATCTCCAAAGTCCTACCTGAGAGTTATTAAGAATGAGCTAATTTCCACACCTGTGAACATTCCCTTCGGTACATCCCAAGAGAACCTCAGTGGTAAAGGTACTCTACCATGGCGATGAGAACAGGAGCCCTACTGCACTTGGTGGCGCCCCACAGTAACAAGCCCCATCTGATTTGGACAGCCTTTCTTACGAGAACTGAGCAGTGGTGCCCTGCTTCAACCATCAAACATGAGCTTTGGGTGTTTACTGTCATCAGAGCCACACCCTACAGAGTGGGATACTGGGAGAGGGTTTGTAATCAGGAAAGTGTAAAGCAGGTATGTTTGAAAGGGGTGCACAATGAGACTGAGAATGAACTTACTGACAGAGCAGATTTGCTTGTTTTCTTTAAGTACCTTGCTATACCCATAGGAAATATATCTGATGTTGAATCCACAATTTAATGAGACTGGTATAGAAGTCTATATAAAAGATGTGGAAATACAGATACTAGCGAGTATGGAATTAATATATAATCTGTGGTGCTAAACTGAAAAAGAAAATTCTAACAAGGATGAAAAAACATTAGACAGAAGAGAATACAAGTTTATAAAGACAGACATCTCAGAACAAAAAGAGGAGAGATTCACTGGTGGCTATTGCAGAGTGATGATCTGTCTTATTACGGATACAGGCTTGATGGGAGGCTTACAGCCACTGACTACCAAAAAGGAAAGCATGAACTTTCCTTTCCTACTAAGTAACCGTGTATGACCACAAAATCAAACTTAATACTGCTTCTCGATGCTTTATCTCATTTAAAAGGATATATATAAATGTATAACTTTAAAAAAGTATTTGTAATGAAAATGGAGCATATATACATATTACATAAACAAAAGCAGTACTAAGGATCAATAAGAATGCAAGTTTTCCAAGTACACAATAATCCTAAAATGTCCTATTCCAGGAATAATCATATATGGGTTATTACAAAACAATTCAGAATAAGCCATGGTCACCCATGCCTGTTTGCACACAATAGTCACACCCAGTGTTTTTAAAACAAAAGCACACCATGCATACAGTACTGATGTGGCAGTGGCTTTCTTTTTGCACAGGGTCTCGCTATGTGGCTGAGGCCAGCCTCAAACTAATGATCTCCCATACCTCAGTTTACTGAGTGCTTGGATTATCAACAGGTGTCATCACAGCCATCAAACTTGAATGTTAGTACTCCTGTGGGGGTCGGGACAACTTGCAGGACCAAGTAAGTTCCAAGGATCAAACTCAAGTTGTCGGTCTTGATAGCAAGTACCTTTCCCAAGGGAGCCATCTTGCTGTCCCTTAATACTTCCTTGATGTCATTCCCTTCCAGTTTAGACAGCTCCCTCATTTTTACCCTCAGTGGCATGTATAACAGTGTATCTGTATACATCAATTTATTTGGACATTTTATTGCTATTATTTAGTGACAATGCTATATTAAAGACACTAAACACACATAATCTCTCTGTAAATAGTTTTAAAAGTTAACTGTAGGATGAAAGGTACTCACATTTAGTATTCCATCTACATTAATTTATATTCCTTGAGTAAGGATTATAGGACCTAGACTATCATTGCAATATACTTGAGAGTATGAGGGAAGGGGAAGTAAGAAAACCAGCTCACCTTCCAAAATCACAGAGTTTTAATACAGCTGTATCAGGATCCAACAAGAGGTTCTGTGGTTTAATATCTCGATGGCAGATTCCAAAGGAATGGATATAGGCTAAACTTCTGAACAGCTGATACATATACAACTGGAATAAATAAGACATTAACTAAGCACATCTGATTTCAGACATAGCTGTAATCATTACACAGTAAACAAAGTAATAGTCTCAGTAGAACATGTACAACGCTGGTGATTACTAAGACAGTTTTCTCTACATAAGTTTCATGTTCTTTCTATAAACACCAAGAAATTAAAATATCATTAAGACATACATTTGTGCTATCCTTTAGTAATTTAGAAAAGTATCCAGGCATGGCGGCATACAACTGAGGCAGGGGAATTCTAAGTTGAAGGCCTACCTGGGCAACTTAGTGAAACCATGTCTTAAACTAAATTTAAAGAGGGCTAGGGATGTAGCTAAGCAGTAGAGCAATTGCTTAGTACAAAAAAAGTGAGGGGTTCAATCCTTTTCACCACTTTAACATCTCACCTGAAGCCAGAGCGCAGAGAGAGAGGAGAGAGAGGAGAGAGGGGAGAGAGGGGAGAGAGGGGAGAGAGGGGAGAGAGGGGAGAGAGGGAGAGAGAGAGAGAGAGAGAGAGAGAGAGAGAGAGAGAGAGAGAGAGAGAGAGAGAGAGAGAGAGAGAGAGAGAGAGAGAGAGAAAGAGAGAGAGAGAAAGAGAGAGAGAGAGAGCAGCCTTTAGATCAGAAGCCAGGCTCATTATTCTTTCTTTCTAGTATCTCAGGCTGTAAAAGCATAGTGTCATTTTTAGGATCATTTATCTTTCTGAAAGGTGAGCCTCCAAAATCATATAATAGAGGCCCAGGAAAACTCCCAGGTAAAGTAAGAAATCTAATCAATTCCCTATTCAGACATCAGTAACTCTGCTAGTAAGTAGTACTAATAACCTTCACAATAATGTAGACTTACAATGTCATTTAAAAACAGATGCCCAGGGGGATCTGAGTCTGAGGATGGCTTGGTCTAAAGAGAGAATTTCATGCATGATATATCCTCTGAACCTGACCCACTGCCCCATGCTCTCCCACCCTGCCTTCCCTACCACGATGCACCATATCCTCCAGAACTATTAGGCCAAAATAAACCTTTCCTTCCTTGTGTTGCCTTTGTCTGGAATTTTGTCAGAGCAACCAGAGGAATGCCGATTGTTTTAAAGCTTTAAAATATATATATATCAATGTAACACCTTCAATATTTCAAGGCCAATGTTGGGACTCATTCTTTTTCTTTCTTTCTTTCCTATTTACTTACTTACTTATTCTTATTTGTTTACTTATTTCTTATTTATTTTTAATCTCTTCCGAACATACTATTACTGTTGTATACACGTGGGCCTTGATCCTGTCATCCTCCTGTTTTACTCCAAATTGCTAAGATTATAAATATGTGCCACCGTACACAACCAGGTTAATTTTAAATTTCTTCTACATGCCCACTCACTTTCTGAGCTCTACTTCCCAGTTAATACCATGGAAACAATTGCTGCAAAGATTCAAATCAGGCTTAGTGTCTGATTAAGGAAAAAAAAAATCAACAGCCAGACAGTGGTGGCGCACATCTTTAATCCCAGCACTCAGAAGGCAGAGGCAGGCGGATCTCTATGAGTTTGAGGCCAGCCTTGTCTACAGAATGAGTTCCAGGACAGTCTCTAAAGACACACAGGGAAACCTTGTCTCAAAAAAACAAAAACAAAAGCAAAACAAAACGACAGTCAATAAAAAGAATAAAGGTCGCCTGAGGTACTGACAAAAGACCCTGTCTTTTCTGGCTATATTGCTGGGGACTAGCATTATTGAAGTTCATGGGAAAGCCACTTTTATTTAGAAGCATGATGAAACTACTAAGGCTGGACATGTTAACAGTACATGTTTAATGCAAATCTGAAATCAAGGTATGCAAGTTATAGACTTCTTCAAAATAAAGCATGACAAAAATGTATATGTCAGATCATCAATGTCAACTTTTAAGAAATAAATCAGAAGTAAAGCATTTAGAAAAGATTTGGCTGTTTCAGGGTATTAATATTTAGACTAACAAAAATCAGTGAAAGAAGTTTTCTTCCAAAAGATGTCCTTAGCAGTTTAAGATTCATTTAAAGATATCTCATCACTGTTCTTTTCATTTTGCTTGGAAAAGTCAAGTTTAAGAATGAAATGAGACTTGCATGGTGTTTTTTTGTTTCCTTTGGTCTACTTTATAAAAAGTTGAAAGGTTTCCTGCACTACAATGAGCAAAAGAATACTAGCCCCCAAAACAACTGAGTACCACATCCTAAGGCTTATGTTTAAAACTGACAAGTTTAAATTTGTACAATGAATGTAGTATCTACAAATAGTAATGAAGCATTAAATAAGTATATTAATAACTGTAAATTTACTTAGTAGGTCGCTGCTTTGGTGCGTGGCACAATGAAGACATCTAAAACTAAAATGATGTCATAGGGCTGCGAGATGTCTCACTGGATTAGAGAATTTGCTGTACACACATGAAAACCTTAGTTTGGATCTCCAGTACCTGTGTAAAAAGGTGGGACTAGCTGCACTTGGCTGTTATCCCAGCACTGCATGGGAAGGGAGGTTCAGAAAAGCCCAAGCCATGAGCTTATGCAAGAGACCTTCTCACGGCAAAGGTGGGAGGCTACGGAGGAGGGCGCACATCTTCCTCCTCTAGCCTTCACTTGTGCCTCACCCTGCACCACACACACAAGGTGTTATGACTATGAAAGTTAAACTGTATCTTATCAGAGTATCCATTTCAAATCATGCATCTCATGTGCATGTGTGTGTGAGGTAGGGCACACAAAACCTGGCATGCATGTGAAGGATTAGAGAACTTCAGAGTTGGTTCTCTTCTACCTGTATGTAGGTCCCATAGAACTCAAGTAACCAGGCTTGCACAGCAAGCACCTTTATCCACTGCAGAGTAATGAAGTTTTAAAGGGAACTACATGTTTCAAAACAAAGTCAGAACTAACTACTTCTCTGAGGAGTAAAAGCAGTGGTTGACAGAGTTGAAACAAACCCAATACTCTGCATGGCTCATATTAAATGCTTTGTGAACTGGAAGTCGTTCCATTGTACACACCTTGACATAGATCACAGGGAGTGTCTGTTTGGCTCGACTATAGTGTCTGGCAACTCTGTACACTGTTTCCGGAACATAGTCCAGCACCAGATTAAGGTAGACCTCATCTTTCTGAAAGAGAATGAAAGAAGAACAACAAAATTAGAGACTGATCTTATGTATTCAGTTAGAGTAAATTCTTCATACATAAAATGATTTTTGAACATAACCATAACTATACAAATGCATCTACCACACTGCATAATCCCAGTATTAAGATTCTTATCATGTGCTTATGCATGTATTATAAGTTTATTACTTATCATATCTTTTATTATTTTCTAGGCTGAAAAAACAATGTCTCCCATTAAATAAGGAAAGACAGCTTGATGACAATGCTGAGTTGAAAGCCAAGAAGACAGGCTGCTAGCCTGACTCTGCTGCTGATTGGTGTGTATACATCACAGTGTGCTCTGGCTTCAGTTTCTGCACTTCCTACGAAAGGATGAGCTAGGTATTCTTTGAAATGCTTTAGTCTCCACATAATGTTTTTGTTTGCTGGACAGTCTAAAATTGTAGAACAATCACTAGTACACAAAACAAAACTTTTGGCTGTTTGGGGCTAAATGGCCAAGTTAAGTAGTTGTGACAGTGACAGTATATATTTTTCATAATCTTGATGTTTTTTAGCTTTACGTACGGTCCAGCCTGAATTCTAAAGCAACATGGCTATAAAGAAACTTCAGTTGGAGTTGGGGGGGACACAGATGCTGTCCTGCTTTTAATACTAAAAGTCCTTGAGAATTTTGGTTCAGGCTAGGTGTGATAGTACTCGCCATTAAACCCAGCAGCAGATCCCTGTGAGGCCAAGCCAGTAAAGGATAAACAGTGAACCCTGCATTGACAGAAGGGAGAGGTGGGGCTCTGGGTTCAAAAGTGAGTAGACATCAGGGAAGAAACAAAAAGCATTTCATTCATTTATTTTGACTAGATGGCCTTAAGTTTGCTCTTACAAAACTTGTGGGAAATATATGGGAAAAGCTGTCAGTCAATGACACAAAGCAAGGCACAGCCAATGCAAGACCACTGCCATGCTCCTTGTTCTGTACTTTTGTCCTTAAAAGAGATTCAAATATATTTATATATTAAGAAAATAGAGGTGAAATTGTAAAGGAAATCTGGCGAAAAAGCGTTCTAGGACAGTGGCTCTCAACCTGGGGGCTGAGACCCCTTTGAATCAACTTGTAGTGTTGAAAATACATCTTGCATTATCAGCTACTTACACTATAATTCATAACAGTAGCAAGATTACAGTTATGAAGTAGGCAATAAAATAATTTTATGGTTGAAGGTCAGCACAACATGAGGAACTGTATTAAATGGCCAAAGCATTAGGAAGGCTAAAAACCACTGCTCTAGAACATTGTGAAATGAAAACAAGAACATGGAACACTGAAACAGTATAATAAATCTTCAAAATGCTCTGAAGTCTTTGTATCGATGTGACATTACAAACACATCATTTCACAGGACAGGCTGGCCACAGGTAGGCAGGTAAGTAGGAAGGTATGTCTCTCTAGCCACCGAAGCACAAAGACTATTTGAGTCCAGGACTTCCAGACTAGCCAGGGAAACACAGTGGGACCCTTCCTCAAAAAAAGGAGAGGGAGAGATGGCTCAGTGGTCCAGACTTCCTCCTGCCTCTGCCTCCCAAGAGCTAGGATTGAAGATGTACAACATACTACCCAGCATGATCAGGGCTTTCCAATGTTTACTTTTTGTTATACTATTGGGATCTCAAATGCCCCCCTTGGCTCATGTACTGCATAGTATTGGGAGATGGTGGAAACTTTAGGAAGTGGGCTGAGATGGAGGACGTAGGCCACTGGATTACATTTAATGGGCATGCCTTGTGCCTGCTCCCTTGCATACCACTGTACATTACAAAATGCATTCAGTACCTCTAAGTGTCTCCATTGCAATAATAATTCTAGTACTGCTGAAAAGTCCAAATCCAGTCTCCCACTCAAAGCAAACTATTAGCTATGAGCTCTGGAAAAATCAAAACTAAGTTACATACTTTCAATACAACAGTGGGACAGGCATGGGTTAACATCCCTGTTGCAAGGGGGGAGGAATAGTACAAACAAGGAAAGGATTAAAATCTTAGCCCTAGGATACTCACCCTCCCATCCCTGGCCCTTCCACCACACGTTTCCACAAAGTTATTTTCAGGCCACACCACAACTAACAACCTGAAATACAGCTGACATTGGCCAAATCCTCTTAAGTTGTGAGTTAAAATAATTTACATTGTTTTCCACGGATATTTTTGTCATACCAGTGTTTTGAAAGCTGACTAGCACCACGTATGATTTCATTTATTAGGATTTAAAGAAACAAATGCCTACAATGGTTAAGTAACAAATGTAAAGGTATAGCCATATGGCAAGAAATAGTGGGTGGTAAATCCGTCTAAGACATAACTAAATGCATCCACAAACAATCCCCAATGTGCTAACCAAATGATGGTCCGCCGGCAGTGTCTCATTTTACCCAGCCATCTGAAACTGGCACCACCACCAGGAAGAATGGCTAAAAATGGAAGACCAAGTTTGGACTGTAAGGCCTCTAACAGGCCATATTGATCTACGGGCCTCTTACCGTGAAAGCCTTATAATGAAAACTCAGAGCATCGTTACACAAAGACAGATCGGGGGGAAAAAACAAGAAACAAGACAACCATCTGTAAGTAAACGACAGGTGTAACTGAACAAAGCTGAACAGGAATCAACAAGAACTTCTAATGAAACACAAGAGGCTCAGCAGAAGGGTAGGCTCAGATCAATAAAGATAATTCCACTCTGCTCTGTACCATTCAGGTCTCATTACAAACAAGTACTGACAAAAATCCCTTTTTAGGCAGCACAGTTCAACAAAGCAGAATACACCAAAGGGCAGTAAATAAAATCATGTCTGCTATAGAGGGTCAATGTTCCAATTTATTATACCATGAGACACATGAAGCTTGGTATTTGTCAAATTAATAAATGTTTTAATGCAAATTAAATAATCACAGTATTAACCCATGGAGTGAGAGTATTCAAACCCAGAAAACATGGAGAGAAAAGTGGTATTTTGTATCCTATTTGGAGGTTCCTGTAAAGATTATTCAGGTGACTCATATTCAATATGACAGTATCTCAAGCAGGAAGAAGGCCCAGGATTCTGCACTTCTGGCACTTGTAATTTTCCGAAATTCAGGTTTGCTGGAATCTCAAAACAATCTCCTTTCAGTCGCCAGAAAGTTCAGCAATTGGATGTAAATTTAATGACAAAAATTCAGAAAGAATATGGCTTCAAATGCAGAAGCTCACCAGCACAGCAAATCCCCACCCTCCCTCAGAACTGCCGCCGAGCCTCCCATACAGCCTCTGTGAAAGCATCTCCTGTACAAAGTGGAGTTTGCTGAGAAACTATCCACACTTCCATAATGTGTAATTTAAGGAGTATTTCTCCACAGTTTCCCAATTCATCACTGCCCCCTGATCACTGATATTCATTTGGTTCTCTCTGGATGTCGAATTTAAGCCACATGACTTGGACATTTAAATGGAATGGTTTAATATCACCTAGCAGCAGGGACAGGGACAGACTTCAGCTTATCACTGTAAAACAGACAGTACTAAGAAGCTCCTGTCCCCAGTTGACTGGTGAGGTCAAGGATATAAAATGGCTTGAGGCCGAAGTTTTAAATAGACAATATTATTCTAAAATGTTCATAGGAAGCAAAGCAGCATGTCAGAGAGTTTATGATAAGACATCCAACCTAGCATCATGACAGCCCTACACTCTCAGAATTGGTGATGGAATTTTAGCTAGCAAAAAACTCATAAGCAGTTGTCTTTCCTCTGAAGGGTTACAGGGCTAGCACAAGACAGGCACTAGAGCAATGGTAAGGATTAATGGAATCTTTTCGCTTAGGAAGCTGTGTGAGAAGAGGCAAAAGGGAAGGTACTGTGGTTTGAATGAGTAATGTCCTCCATAGGCTTGTATGTTTAAACACTTGGCCCCCATCTGGTGGCACAGTTTAAGAAAGTTATGGAACCTTTGGGAGGCAGAGCCCTGGTGGAAGCAGTACCTCACTAGGGGCAGAGTGGCAGGTTTAGTAGCCTGAGCCCAGTTTCTGTTCTCTTTCTCTGTTTCCCCTGTGCAGATGAAATGTAATCCCCTTGCTTCCTAGGTGACAGACTGCCTCCTATTGCCAACACCTTCCTGGTCATCAGTGGACAGCTTCCGCTCTGGAACTATAAGTCAAAACAGACTGTTTCTCCCCTATGCTGTTTTTTGCCAGGGTATTCTACGACAGCAACAACAAAAAGGAAGGTAAGCATCTAATTAAAAAAAAATTGGGAAAACTTCTAAAAATAAATACCAAAATTATCAAAAAAAAAATGTGGGGAAAATCAACTTACAAGTAACTCTTGGAAGAGGGTGCACCTCTAAGACATTAGAAAGAACAGAGAAAATGTACACCTTTAATTCCTAAACCAAGGAGCCAGAGGTAGGAGAACCAATGAGAGTTTAAGGCCAGCCTGGTCTACATAGCTAGAGAAACCTATCTCAAAAACAAACAAACAAACAAAAAAAGATACTAAAGGAAAAAACATCAATTTGATTACATACAAATACAAGAATTTAAAGTACATACAAATACTTAAAATTAAAACCCAAAACACACAGACCATGCCCCCAAAATTTCTATTACACCAAATAATTTGTTTTTATATAAATTATTGACAGACAATAAGAAAATACAAATATCAAAAATGAAGAAAAATGTTCAACCTCACCCATACTTACAGTAATAAAATAATAGTATAACAAATTACAAACTTTTACTTCTCGAATGAGAAAGGAAAATTCAATATGAGAAAAGCAGGCATTAGAAAAGGTCACCATATGCCCTGGTAAGCCTAAGCTCATGGAACTTTTTGAGAAGCTGCTGAGTTAATATACTCAAGTAAAGGGGAAGCTATGCAGAACCAACTGTGACTTAGCAATGTCATTTCTTGGAACTGTCCAGTAAAACTATTGTGTGCATGTTTGTGGTGCCCTTATGTACGGACAAC